GCAGCACGAGGGCCTCCTAGGGCCGCGCGGGTACCGCCTAGGGCCGCTTTTCTAGTTTGAGTAGGAATCTTTCATGCAGAACCGTATCAAATCCCTTCTGACAGTCAAGGAATATGCAGTCTGCCCCATCACTTTTTGTTTTAGTTCTGCCATCTTGTTATAGAACTCCAGCAAGTTTGTCTAACAAGATTTTCCTTTGCTAAAACTATGCTGGTGCCTTGAGACAAAATTCGTCAGTTCTACATGTTCTACTCGGCTGGTATGGATCAGTCTCTCTAGCAACTTGCAGGGGTTACTTGTTAGTGATACAGGTCTGCAATTTAACTGTTTGTGTCTTCCCCCTTTCTTGTAGGCTGGTACCCATGAGCCATTTTCCAGTTGTTAAGAAGTTTTCTCGTTTCTAGAGAGGAATTAAATATTATGGCAAGTGAGCTGCACAATGCTTCAGCTGCCTCTTTTAGTACCCATGGCGATATTTTGTCTAGTCCCACGGCTTTTGTCACATCCAGTTCCTGCAGTTGCTTCTTTACTTTTGGTGACTAACTTCAGTGATGCTTTCCAGTGGAATTTCCCGTTCAGTTTGGGCTCTAAGCACTAGTGGCAAATCAGGCTCCAGCTTGGATACGTCCTGAAAGCATTAAGTTCCTTACATACCTCCTTATCCTTTTCAGGGTGTCCTTCCTCACTTTTGTCAAGTTTGACAACCTGCCCATTCACAGTCATCTTCCTCCTGATATGACTAGAGCGTATCGGACGTTTTGGATCGGACTTAGCCTTGCCCGAAACTCTGTGCGTATTAATGGCTTTAGGCATAGTATGTACTAGCTCTATCTAGAAAACTAACATTATGTTTGTATCTCACCTTGTATGCATGTACTTTTACCTGAATAAACATTGTATTTATTTTTGTTTGGAATGTCATTCTCGTACTACTGCTCTGCCACGCTCCTAGTTTCTGTATACTAGTTTGTGGCCTCTTTGTATACACTGTGTTTTCCTTCTGCTGTGTTCTCTATACTTCTTCCATGTTCTTTGGCTTTTTCTCTTTGCTTTGATGAACCACGGGCTAATGCTGTTCTTGCTTCCATTAAATCTTAGTGGTGGTATAACTCTTTCTTTAGCTTTTTTTTTTAGCTTTTCAGTAACGTAGTCCATCATGTCCTGTGCTGCTTTTTCTCAGTTCTCTTCCCCATTGTGGCCGTCCCGGGAATTCTTTGGCCTGGTATTGTCTTCTCGTGTATGGTGGCCTTACAGTCTGCCCCTTGTTACATCTTTCTATGGACTCCATTGTCACTATATATTCAAACATTATAACATGGACCTGGTCCAATGTACCCGGGGGCCGCGCGCACGTTTCATCCCCGGGGCCGCGCGCACGTTTCATCCCCGGGGCCGCGAGCACGTTTCACCCCCGGGGCCGCGCGCACGTTTCACCCCCGGGGCCGCGCGCACGTTTCACCCCCGGGGTCGCGCGCACGTTTCACCCCCGGGGGCCGCGCGCACGTTTCACCCCCGGGGCCGCGCGCATGTTTCACCCCCGGGGCCGCGCGCACGTTTCACCCCAGGGGCCGCGCGCATGTTTCACCCCCCGGGGCCGCGCGCACGTTTCACCCCCGGGGCCGCGCGCATGTTTCACCCCCGGGGCCGAGCGCATGTTTCCATCCCCCGGGGGCCGCGCGCATGTTTCACCCCCGGGGCCGCGCGCATGTTTCACCCCCGGGGGCCGCGCGCACGTTTCACCCCCGGGGGCCACGCGCATGTTTCACCCCCGGGGCCGCGCGCACGTTTCTCCCCCCCCCCGACGCCGCGCGCACGTTTCACCCCCGGGGGCCGCGCGCACGTTTCACCCCCGGGGGCCGCGCGCACGTTTCACCCCCGGGGCCGCGCGCACGTTTCACCCCCGGGGCCGAGCGCACGTTTCACCCCCGGGGCCGAGCGCACGTTTCACCCCCGGGGCCGAGCGCACGTTTCACCCCCGGGGGCCGCGCGCACGTTTCACCCCCGGGGGCCGCGCGCACGTTTCACCCCCGGGGCCGCGCGCATGTTTCACCCCCGGGGCCGAGCGCACGTTTCACCCCCGGGGCCGAGCGCACGTTTCACCCCCGGGGCCGCGCGCATGTTTCACCCCCGGGGGCCGCGCGCACGTTTCACCCCCGGGGGCCGCGCGCACGTTTCACCCCCGGGGCCGCGCGCATGTTTCACCCCCGGGGGCTGCGCGCATGTTTCACCCCCGGGGCCGCGCGCATGTTTCACCCCCGGGGCCGCGCGCATGTTTCACCCCCGGGGGCTGCGCGCATGTTTCACCCCCGGGGCCGCGCGCATGTTTCACCCCCGGGGCCGAGCGCACGTTTCACCCCCGGGGGCCACGCGCACGTTTCACCCCCGGGGCCGCGCGCATGTTTCACCCCCGAGGCCGAGCGCACGTTTCACCCCCGGGGCCGCGCGCATGTTTCACCCCCGGGGCCGCGCGCATGTTTCACCCCCGGGGCCGCGCGCACGTTCCCCCCCCCCCCCCGGGGCCGAGCGCACGTTTCCCCCTGGGACTGTAAGTGTATCTTCAAGGAATGCCTTTACATTTCCCGTAATCACTCGTACGGAGAATTGTGGTGATGACTTGGGGGGGTTCTGGTGATGACCGGGGGGGGGGGTTGTGGTGATGACTTGGGGTGGGGGTTGTAGTGATGACGGGAGGGGGGGGAGGAGTTGTGGCAGTGTTGCCCCCTAACAATGCCTAAACAAGGGCCTTGCAGCCCAGACGACCCTCTCTCCCACTCTCACTCTCTCTCTCCCTGTCTCTCTCCCACTCTCCCTCTCCTCAGATTTGGCTCAACCCGTCCTCCATACAGCACGTCGCATTTTGACCGAAACTTTACCCAAAACTGTCGTACTAGAAAAAAATAAATGGTCGCGGCTCGCGAAACTGACATACGACAGTCCCGTTTTCTGTACGACAGTTTCTTGACGCTGGGAACCTTGGCGAGAAGGGCCAACCATGCTAAACAGTCATGTAACCCGGGATTCGACTCAATCCTCTAGGATTCCCGAGGCATATTGCGGGCGGTGAGTCACAATAACGTGGCTGAAGATTTGACGCACATCAAATGACGAGACGAAGGTTATTCCTAGAAGGTAAGAGTACAGCGAAAAGGTAAGAATAGGATGAATGCGTGTAATAATGGGATAGCCAAGAATAAGAGGAAGGTTAAGGAAAAAGGAGACGGGGGGGGGTAGAAATACCCTAAGCTACTCTATCCCTTTGAGATGTATTTCTTTCTTATCTCAATAAACATACTTGAACTTGAATAAGGAAAAAGGAAGGTTGGGAAGGATAGGCTTAATTAAGTAAGGTCACGTTTGTTAAGAAGGTTGGAGCATTTGAGTATGTACTGTGAAAGGGAAGAGTCAACAGCAACAAAGCCAGGACTAAGGTTCATGTTGGGTCTCAGAGACGAGTCGACAAGACGGCGTCTGTGAAGAGAGGCAGGAAAGATTAATTTAGAAGAAGACCAATCATTAGGTATGATTAGACTCCCAAAAATGACAGAAGAGAGCGCTGTTTGTGTCTGCAGACTTAACATTTCTTTTGTGTTAAGTCTGTCATTTAGTGTACGACCAGTTTCCCCAAAGTATTGGAGAGGACAAGACGAACAGGAAATAGAGTAGACACCAGCAGCATGGAAGCAGGAGAAGTCTGAACCACATTACTACCAAGGGTATTAGTCAGATTTTTTTAGTTTATATATGAAGGGAAGGCAGATGAAAGATGGTGAAGTATGCCTGGCCAGGATGGAGCCAGAGCAAACTCTGGTGGAGGTCCGTAGCGATTCTGACGTTGGAAACAGGTTTGGGATGAAAGAAATTTCGTTTACCTTGAGGGAGGGAGATAGTTATCAGGGAAAAGCGCCAAGCCATTACGACTATATAGCACTTGGAAGGGGTCAAGATAAGGATTTGAGATGGGACCGGGGAGAAGGAATGGTGCCCAACCACTTGGACGGTCAGGGATTGACAGCCGACCTGCATGAAACGTGACCGTCGCTCTACCGTCCACTCCAAGCGGTTGGGTTTGTTTAGCTTGAGAATAGGCACAGTTGATAAAATGTAAGGGGTAACCAAGGCGAGAGAAAGATTTGTAGATAAATGAAATTTCAGAGTCCAGAAACTGAGGGTCGCTGATGTGAAGAGCGCGGAGGAAGAGAGAGACGAGGACACTTTTCTTAACAGAAGGAGGATGGTAGGAGGAGAAGTGAATGTACATGCCACTATGCAGAGGTTTGTGGTAGACAGAGAACGAGAACCCGGACACAGAGCTGTGAACATCAAGAAAAGGAAGGAGAAAATTAGATTCACAGTCAACTTTGAAATTGATAGAAGAAGCCAGATTGTTAAGAGAGGAGAGGAAAGGCTGGAAAAGACTAAAGGTCATGAAGCCATAAAGCAAAAATGTCATCAACATAGCGAAGCCAGAGAGAGGGACGAGTATTAATAGTGTAAATAAGAACGGTTTGGAAGTATTCCCTATGGAGAGTGGCAAGAACAGGGGGGAGAGAGAGAGAGATAGAGAGGCGTCTTCCGATACCAACTCAGGATATTAAGCACTGACTGTGGTTCTACCCTCACCGCTTCTCTTCGAATGCACAAATAAATCACATTAATGTTATATATAATAGAAATGTCATGTCAAGAGAAATATGAGAAATTGTCTTGTCAAGATACGTATAGCGCAGCAGTCTGCTCACAACCGAACGGCCCCGGGTTCGATTCCCAGGCAGAACGAGACGTTTTTGGCACGCTTCCTTACCAACCCAGTTGTTGTGGTATTTCATCCTGGCGAAAGTTTAGTAATTTGCCAGGAGTAAACGGGATGAACCTAACAGGTTTCGTGTCCCTCGACCATGGGAGACCAGTATTAGAAATAACGTACCGATGCCAGTAGAATATGACACAGTACCGCGTAAATCAAGAGTCAGAACACATTAAACAATCGGGGAAAAACTCACGTGAGACACAGGTGGAGAAGTTGTACCAGCATCCTTTCTTGCGGATGGTCTCACTGTTGTCGTACTCGTAGTTGTCGACGGCGGTGGTGGGGGCGGCCCCGACGGGCCCAGTGGGTCCGGGGGCGCCGTCTCGCCCATCAAAACCTCCCCAGGCCTGCCGGTTAGACGCGTTGGTCCCTGGCCGCTCCAGTTCGCTGGCCGGATTGCTCATCTTGGCTCACACGGTGGTGCTGCTGCTGCTGCTTCTGTGTACGAAGAAAAGCTCGGTTCAACACAAACTAAAACTCATATAAACTAACCAAACCTTATTTGCCTTACACTACCTTAACTAAACGTTATCAAGTGTATTACCTTAGAGAATAAAACAAGAAGAATGTACGACAGAGGACACGGTCGACCGATCAAGTGTGTATACGTCAACACTGTGAAGCAATAATTACCCCGGGGCGGCCATAGCCTCGCCACCCTGCGTGCGCCTCCTGTAAATTTCATCAACAAGGTCAGCTGAGACATTCTCCGCACGACTCTGCTCAGCTGTTGAGGCTAACCTCCGCTGACACCACCCAAATAACCCCAACCCAACAGCCCCTCAACCTAACGACCCCTCCCTACACCCACCCCTTCAAACCCCACCCCGCCTCGTGTGTTACCGTGGTTAAGGCACTTGGCGACACCAGAGGCTGGATACGAGCAACATTCCACACAACACTTACTATGTTGACATTATGGGAATATTAGAACATTTGGTTACTTTTTTGTATTGAAAAATGTTAAATGGAGTTCGCCGAATTGTCAGGATTTGTTAACAAATTGCAACAAACTTATTAGCGATAATTTGTTAAGACTCCTTGGGGGACTAATGGTTCACAATTTAATGAATCAACTGATTGTATTCGGACTCTTTTGGAACAGTGCTTCGCTTAAATCTTCGCTTCGCATCAAACGTTCGAATCGCATCTCTCTAAATACAGCCCGTCCTTAAAACAAAGACCAAAGTCCATTCCATGCACCCGTCAAACCCCCTGTTTAAGAATAAAAAACGGTTTACCCTCGATTCACAACTGATGACGTTCGAACACTTCCGGAACAAGTGCTTCACTGACGACTTTTGTTCGAACCACAACGCTGTAAATGTCTCACCCACGTACTACAAATACAAATAATCGCTAACGGAATCTAAACACCTAACCTAACCAATACCTAAATATGCACAGTATGCTATTATATAACAATATTAATTTATATTTGAGAAGATTCCTATTTTGAATGAAGAGCATTTTAAAAATTGACGAATGCGTTTTTTGGGGTCGACGCTGGATGGAATGGACTTGGTCTGAGGACGAGTGGTGTGACGACTGTTATTGTTTTATTCGCCTATAGAGGGACCTGATTCCCGCCAAACACACGCCGAAACTACGACGTTGGTACAACGTTCGAACAAGTTTTAACACCTCCTAACCAGTTATAACAACCAATATAGCAAATTGTAACAACGTTCTAATACGTCATAAACACGTTAAGCCAAGATGTAACAACTTTATTACAAGTTGTAACAAGAGGAAAATAGAGACAGTTCCGGTTTGTGTTTCTAGGGGAGTCCGTTCTCGCCCCAATCTGCTTCGTTTTATCTTTTCTTTGTGGGATGTGACTTGATCATGTTTCTAGTGTTACGACGCCTATTTTCCCGAGACACTATTTAGATTATCTACCTGTTATCTTATTATTTGCATTATCTAGCTGTTCTTTCCCAAGTTATTTCTTTGGTCTCGGTTAAATAGTTACCAAATCCGCCTAGAACGCTACGCGTGTTAGTGGCTTCGCAAGAGCGTTAAACTTAATCCCCACCGTATGTACTATCATACCCCATTGTACCTACTTGTATATAAATATAAATGAATCTGCTTATTACTAAAATTGATTTTGCTGAATTCTCTTTGATTTGAAACTGGCAGCGCAGGTCTCATGCTTTTCTGAACTTCTATTAGCGATCACAGTAACAGGTATATATAATCATTATTTTACGGACCAATTCAAGTTCAAGTATGTTTATTGAGATAAGCAAGAAATACATCTCAAAGGGATAGAGTAGCTTAGGCTATTTCTACCCCCCAGCGGACCAATTTATCACTGTGAAAATAGGATGTAGGGTGTTTCCTTTTACAGTTGGCTATAAGATTTGCCTTAAACCAGCAAATAGATCACACACCGTAAGAGGCTGTTCATTCAGACGGCTTCCTGGGATTCTGGCCGAAATAACGGTATCTGTAAGGCTTCCATTTTAGGCACCGTAAGTTGAAATTCGCTAAGCAAGATGATGTTCGAGGCTGAGTCTGTGAGATCTTCCAAGCAGTATTTTATTTTCATTAGTTTGTCTCTAAACTGCTGAGGCTTTGAAAAGGACAATAACCATACATAGGATTTATATTTTGATTATCAGCACCTCCACCATGCATCCTGGGGTAGGCTCAGCAATTCGACCCTGGTGGGGAGGGGGGGACCTCGATATATGCGTAACATGTATATATTCACTGGCTGCCTGTCCCGCGACATAATGAATTAATAAAGTCTCAGGACAGACCTCATTATCACACCAATAACTGTTGATACGTGTTCAGACTTCACCTTATCTATGCTTACTCTGCTGTTGATCTGCTAACTGTGCCTTAAACCTACTCAAAACGCGTAATTTATTAAATTCTGGTTTTCAGGGTGATTGTATTAATGTCTTATTAATTAATGCTTCATGACAGTTAAATAACCACACTCACTATATCTTAGTTACAGCAATAACGGGAATAAGCGACATTTATCACGGCATGTAAATATATTTTTGAACTTTAAACGCACGGAGAATGTCAGTCAGTTCAAAATAGTTAGAAAAATTAACAATGGAGAGACCTTTGACAACCCGCTGGCTTCCTCTCAACGTCGAGGCCCTCAGGTAAATTCAATTAAACCACAAATGCTTTCATTTTCTAATGTGGGTCTGTTTTTATTTCATTAGGTCCATTCGACCGTCGGGATCGCACCACTGACAATCGTTGGGCAGAAAAACCAATGGATTTAAGGGAGCCGTGCACGACTATAGTAATGAAGGCAGCTGTGCACGAAAAATATTCAAGGCAATTGGGAACGAAAGATAATCAAGGCCGCAGGGCACGAAAAATAATCATGGCAGCCGGGCACGAAAAGTAATCAAGGCAGACGGGCACGAAAAGTAATCAAGGCAGATGGGCACGAAAAGTAATCATGGCAGCCGGGGCACGAAAAGTAATCAAGGCCGACGGGCACGAAAAGTAATCATGGCAGCCGGGGCACGAAAAGTAATCAAAACAGTTGGACACGAAAAGTAATCCCAACATTATTCGTTCAGTAATCACGACAAACAGGATTGGTTCAGTAATCAAGGCAGCCTGGTGGGAAAGTATGCTCGCCTATTGATTTAGCGTGTGGCTATATAGTTGCCATGGAACTTAAAAATTAAACTTGACAGTAAGGAGTAGAAACAAACATGGCGACTTGAGGGCACAATATATAATTGTATTTACAGTAGGCTTTAGTCACACACAATTTTCCACGAGGGAAAAATATTATACTCTTGCTGAAATATATCGTTGAGGGGGGTTATATGTTGCAACATTACCTCCCACTCTTTCAAACAATTAAACACATTATTATTATTATTAATTATCTACTTACACGTTAGTTAATTATCAAAGAAAACTGCTAAGCCAGTATGACTATACAGCAAATGAACTTGTAATGGACAATTTGTGTAATAAATTTTTTTAAAAAGACCATATATATATATATATATATATATATATATATATATATATATATATATATATATATATATATATATATATATATATATATATATATATATATGTCGTACCTAGTAGCCAGAACGCACTTCTCAGCCTACTATGCAAGGCCCGATTTGCCTAATAAGCCAAGTTTTCCTGAATTAATATATTTTCTCTATTTTTTTTCTTATGAAATGATAAAGCTACCCATTCCATTATGTATGAGGTCATTTTTTTTTATTGGAGTTAAAATTAACGTAGATATATGACCGAACCTAACCAACCCTACCTAACCTATCTGTATAGGTTAGGTGGCCGAAAAAGTTAGGTTAGGTAAGGTAGGTTAGGTAGTCGAAAAAACATTAATTCATGAAAACTTGGCTTATTAGGCAAATCGGGCCTTGCATAGTAGGCTGAGAAGTGCGTTCTGGCTACTAGGTACGATATATATATATATATATATATATATATATATATATATATAATCGAAAGCAAATTTAACAAACCCGCTAACATATGCCGGTGCTAGCTCAGTTACACTTGGCATTTGTCGATTAGCTTCACTACGTAGTATGTATAAGTTAATTGCTATGTTTCAATTTCAATTACCAAAATTGAAACAAAACTTAGGCTATTTACTACGACCAAACCATTAACCTCAAGTAATAAGTAATCAAGGACTGAGGCAATATTCCAGTCAGAAACCTGAAATATTCAACAAATTTGCTCCTTTGCAATAGAAAAAAAAGGGAGATCTTAGGCTACACTGTTCAAACGCAATAGAAAATCACATCATTTCTGCCTACCAAGCCTAGTGCCTTCTTTTTAGAACTACAAACTTACTCCATTGAATGTTTATTCAACATATTACACATTTACAAAAGCTACAGCCAAACGGAACTTGGAACTAATCAATACCTATTCACAAAAATGTACAAACCCGACCAAACTAACCTTGCCCCCGCTGCCATAGCACCGAGGTAAACACAGGTGTCTCCTGGCCACCCCTAGCCACCTTATCTGCGTCTAGATAACAGCCACCAGTCTCTCATATCTTAAGTAGGTTAGCAAGAGCTTGAGGTTATTGATAAACATTGAAAAGTTATCGGAAGGCACGTTTTCCAACCGGTTTTGTCCTCTCCTGCTTAATATCTGTTGACGTCAGGGGGACACGGGTGGCCCGCGCCTCCCAGTCTTAGGTCCTCCCAGCTGCAATCAACTCTAAATTACGCATTCCCTATTTTTAGTATACTATGCAACCGAAAAGGCCCTTTTGTTGAATTAATATTCATGAATATTATAACTGTACAACAAGTAATTTATCAAAAGAAGGCGCCAAGCCGGGGACCAATGTAGCACCAATAACTGTATTTTTCCTAGATAATTTTATAATTCCTAGAAAAGATTAGATGTTTTGGTTCTGTTGGCAATGGTAAGCATTAGAGGGGTGCGATTCGAGTCCCTGTCCTCAGGCTAGACTCGTCCAACCGGCGGTCGACCCCAATGTCGCATTCATTAATTTTAACGTACACAGTATTCAAATATTTATTTTCTCAAATATAAGGTAATATTAGTTGAGGTAATATTACCTTATATTAAAAAACACCAGGTAATAATACCCGAGGAAGGTGTTTTTCATTTATTTAATAAGGTGTTTAGCGACTAGATTAATTAACATTTATTTGGATACAGTTTGAGGACGGGCTGACGGTAAGGAGTGGAATTCGCTCCAGCTGACAGCAAAGTCACGAGGATACAAAAATAGTTTTATCAAATATTTTGTTATCGTCATTGTTAGAATGACTTGCTCTTTCAACTGATTGTACTATAAATATCATTTAATAAGTTACTTAATAATTTGCCGATTTCGCTACTTAAGTTTGCCCATATTGGACAAATAAACATTTAATAAAGATAAAACGTAATTTATAATACTGTACACATACATTCAAGTAAAGAAATATACAATTGACTTTTTTTTGCACCTTCGTGAAACGGCAAATAAAGCACATCTCCAAGACGACACTACTGAACAAGACGATGGAGTGCTCAAATACATATTTAAATGGTCAATACAGTGTCAGGTCACGTACCTGACCATAATATTGGATTAAAAAATAAATAGCAGATGCAAAACTAAAATCTAGACTAAGGGCGAACTGTCAGAGCTGGTATATGGAATATTTACACTAACTAAACAAACCAAAGCTGTTAATAGACTAAATCTTGAAGCATGTATGAAAAACTCCAACTATTCAGAAAAGTTGAAACATTGCTAAAAACCTAACAAATCCTAGGTAAAATAAATGGAGTTTAGTTCCTTGATTCCAATATGCATCTATACTACTTCCAATACCGTTCTCAGGACTGGTATGTGCTGAATAATAAAAGAACGTATTCATCAACTAAACAAAAATAAATGCGAGAAGTGTGAGGAATACATTATCCGACATTGGCCATCACTCAGAATGGAAAAAAGCCCCCATACCATCATGTGGCGCAGTTGTCACCACAGAGGTCACAGCCACAAGATTCCAGCTTCGATTCCCACTGCAGAAAGAAACGCCAAAGCATGTTTCTTTTAACTTGATGCCGATATTCTAGCAGTAAAAAGATACCTAGATGTTTGGCAGCTATTCTGAGTTGCATCCTGGGGAAGGTTAGCATGGCCTAGGGGAAACGGGGGGGGGGGGGAAGTTTTCTAAAAGCCTAACAGGCTACCTGCTCGCGACATTGGGAAACAAACTCTTCGAACATACACACAATAAAATCACGAAAGCCACAAATACAAATAGTTGTGAATTAACAACCCTTAAAGAATGCATGGTAGCACAGTAGGCTTCGTTCTCGACTCAAAATCAGGGATCCCGGGTTTGAATCCCGGCTGGACGGAAATGGTTGTGCACGTTTCCTTTTACCTAATGCCTTTGTTCACTTAGTAGTAAATAGGTACCCTAAAGTTAGGCAACTATTATAATGTTGCATCTTGGGGAGGGTCAGTAGATCAACCTTGGGAGAGGACCTACATACGGGCCTAAAGTGTGTGTGTTGTGATATATTTTATATATATATATATATATATATATATATATATATATATATATATATATATATATATATATATATATATATATATATATATATATATATATATATATATATATATATGCCCGACAATACAAATTATATTTAATTACATTATTTACCCTGATGGACAGTAACATCCAACTATTGGATGTATATGATTATATCTCTACAACTCGGGTTGGGGGTCTGTCCATGTTAATGCTTCACCCTTCTGCCCACTTTAAGTGTTTAAGGGTTACATGGGTGGTTGGGGTGGAGGAGAGAGAGAGAAGCTGATAAGCTGGTAACAAATCTGAACGACCAGAAGCTAGTTCCTTAGAGGCACTGTGTGTAACACAGCACACAGCAAAACTGAATAAGCAACAGTGAATTATTGTATCTTAATAAGATCGAAATCATTTAGGCAATCCATGAATAGTATACCTTGCTAGAAAGTAATGCTTGTATGATATAAATGGATTTTAAAATGTTTCATTCGTTCTGTCGGAGATAGGAACCCTGTGTTTATAATATAAGTACATACATATTAGGCATATAAACATACACTTTAGGTTTATATCGAGATTTAATTACTGGCCCTCCCCAGGATGCAATACCCAATAGTTGCCTAACTTCCGGGTACCTATTCACTATTAGGTGAACAGAGGCATAAAATTAAAGAAAACGTACACAATCACTTTTGTCACAAGTGTCACATATGTTTTATTATTATGTCTAGTTACATTAAGCAGCATTATATCTAAAGCTAGTTCAAAAATTATAATATGCAAGAAAGTACATGATACAGTGGTCTTTCATGCGCCTAGTGGCCTCAACAAGGATAAGAAGCTGGTGTCTTGTCATATGTTCCACATTACATGTATTACGACTTTTACATGGACACACAGACTAATCAACTTGAGAATGGTCCAGGACGGACCGAAACGTCGTCGTCCCTTCACCTTCTAGTGTGTGGTCTGGTCAAACTACTTCACCCACGTTATTGTGACTCATCGCCTGCATACAGACTGATGACTAGGTTGCAAAGTTTATTAACATTACAGTAAGTCTGTTTATAATAGTAGATAGTTCAGCTTAATTAACATTAAATCCCATACTCATGCCGCGGACTGTGGCAAAAGTGTCACGGAATAACACAAAGAGTTCAGGCACAGTCTCCAGGTTTAAAAAGAAACCAGTTACCTTTAAGCTAAGCAATTTGCATTTGTGTTCACTATTTACATTTGATTTTTATTTGCATATGCTCCCCACGTCCCCCACACTCGTGTGTGGTGCACGGCTGGCGGTAGAAGGGTGCCAGGCACACCATGGGCAGAAGTGGGAAAACTTGAGCTTGAAGCCTTTATCTACCTCAAGACTCAGGTGTGTATATGCTCTATGTAATTCAAATCAAAGCACACCAATTAAGACAATGTTTTTCATAATGCCTAGTTTCGCCACAGCAAAAGGTACTAATTAAGCTACCGTGTTGAAACAATATGCTTACTAATGACAAACAACTAATCTCATTGTTACCATAATCACCACAATGATCAGAAGTTGATTCAAGCCTAGATAAGTTTATGAATACTAATTTAAATCGCCAGGATTCATTCTCGCGCTGTGTTCTATTTCTTGCCCCTTCAATTTGGGTAATAACACTTACTAGTGAGCAAAGGAGCCCGGCGTGGGCCGTGTGTGGAGGGAGTGTGGCGCCAGCTGTGGTGGTGAAGCCCGTGTGGTAGCCGCAAGTGAGTGCTAGAGCAACAGTGCCTGTCTGCTAGTGCCAGGCAGGGTGACACTTGGGAGGGACCTGCGCCCCACACTCCCCTACGAACAACGCGCTCTTTCACCTCACAACCATAAACATTGCGTCTCGAAGTCTTAATTGATCCTGACTTCTCCTTCGTCTTTCTTTTACATAACATACTTCTTCAAGCACCATTATCAATAAAAATTAATATTTTATTAAAACACACTAGTTTTTTTAAATTTTTGTAGGGTTTAGAGATACTATAAACATTATAATTGAAATTAATAAAAGAATGTTTTTCTTCCAAGGTTGAGACAGTTTGAGATACGTAACTATGACAACGGTAACGCGGGCCAGTATGTTGTGGTGGCGCGAAATTATGAAATGTTTAAGTCTTCTCTCATCCTTAACGCAACATTAGCAGCTTTGGATTACAGTTATTTAAATGTTTCAGATTTGAAGATTCTTTGATGTCTGTAAATTAAATATGTAACAAAATTATGGAGATGTTGAAAATAACTGTTTTAATTGCATAAGATAATGAACATATTGGTATAATAAACATGGATGAGGTAAATGTTCGACAGTCTATTTTTAAAGATTAAACTTGCAAAAAGATGAAAATTATAACAAATATTTTGAGTGCTGAATATCCTTAATCACTCTGTTCGTGTAAAAAAATATATATATATAGAGCAGATATGTTTATTTGTTAAATATTACGCAAATTTGACAAACCACATAATCTGTTAAATTATTTGTTTTCTGGAGGCTCTCTGCTATCTAATCTTTCCCTTTGATCTTGTATCAAGTCTCTACAGTCAGTTATGTTTAATATACTAGTAAGGGAATTGTTATCCAACATTATCCATGAAGGAAGCGATTATCATCTTGTATAACTCAAGGTTCGACATCTTATCGCACCACCACTATTGTGTCGCTATACGAGCAATAAAAAGCGAAGTTGTCTAAGTAGAACCAAAGCAGGCAAGGTTGAATACGCAGCCTTGACGGCCAGAGTGATGATTATGCATGACATTGTGTTGTTGTGAGATATATGAGGCAGAGTAAGAGGTCTGGCTTCCCCATCCCTGCAGCGGCGGCTGTCCTCCCCGCTCCCCAGCCTAACACGAGCCGCTCCCCGCCGTGACGTCACACACCCAACCCACCAATCACCGCCCGCCATTGGGGTGCGCATCATCCGGGACCTGGCGGAATCCAGTGGTCGGGGAGTCGCCATTTTGAGGGTGTCGGAGAAACTGCAGGGGTACCGGCTCGTCTCCAGGCGACAGACTCGCTCATCTGCTCAAAGCCCTACAGTGCGACAGTGATGGAAGTGTATATCGAGCCGACACAAGTGCCGCAAGACGCCCTAGCGGCGGCAGCGCAGCTCGAGTTAGGGGCCACGCCGCAAACCCTCACCATTCGACGACCGTTCAATCCTGTAGCCCACGAGTTGGACGCTAACTTCCGACTGACACGATTCGCCGACCTGAAAGGATGAGGGTGCAAGGTCCCCCAGGAGGTGCTGACGCGCCTGCTGGAGGGGCTGCAGGACGATGGGACGGGCCACGAGCACGACCACACAGCACACTTCATGCACATGCCCATCACACACATTGGTGAGTGGCCCTCCACCCCGCCCCCCGCAACACTCCCGCCACACTTCAAATCTCCTGTCTTAAACAAATGTCAAACTGCGATTTACGGCCTCCAACACTTAGGTGTCCTTAATTATCACGTAATTAGCTCTTTATCGCCTTAGAACTTTCATTAGTGGTCCCCCCCGGGCCAAGATGACACGCTCCCACACCCCGACACCCCGCCTATATTGACACCTTTCACCTGCAATATCTTAATGTTAGTAGTATTCCTACTCTGTATTAATATAATTTCATTAAATTAGCATGTGTACCGACAGATGGTGTCAGGATAGGTCACATTGTCGTTGTTAGCGGAAAAGATGTTTCAACGGGGTTGAGCAGGTCTGCCAGCGGGCCCCGCACGTGGGCCACCATGCTCGGGCTCTCCCTCGGGGCCCCCGCACGTGGGCCACCATGCTCAGGCTCTCCCTCGGGGCCCCCGCACGTGGGCCACCATGCTCAGGCTCTCCCTCGGGGCCCCCGCACGTGGGCCACCATGCTCAGGCTCTCCCTCGGGGCCCCCGCACGTGGGCCACCATGCTCGGGCTCTCCCTCCGGGGCCCCGCACATGGGCCACCATGCTCAGGCTCTCCCTCGGGGCCCCCGCACGTGGGCCACAGAGCACTGCTCCTTTGGGGCCTACATGTACCACCATGCATGGCCCCTCTCTTGGAGCCCACCTTGCTCTACACTGGCTTTATTTGGTCGCAAGTGCCCACTGGCATTGTCTCCTCTCTGGGGTCACACCAGTGCCCACTGGCATTGGCCTCCCCTCCCCTTTTGGGGTCACACAGGTGCCCACAGGCACTGCCTCCCCCTCTGAGGTCACACTGGTGCCCACTGGCATTGCTACCAAAACCCTTCTGGGGTCAAACAGGTGCCAACAAGCATTGCCTCCTCTCTGTGGTCACACAGGTGCCTACTGGCATTGAAACCCATAACTTGGGTTAAGGGTTCCTCCCACATGGAGAACTAAACTATTCATCTGCAGTACCATGGTGGAATAAGATTTTTTTTTTTTTTTTTTTTAAATGTGAAACTGTGGTTGCTTTAACCCCCTGCACTGCGCACCTGTTTTTAGCAAAAACTTCATAGTGCAATTGATAAGGACATAATTTTGTTTTTATAAATGTTCAGGTAAAGTTAATGTCAATGTTTCTAAATTCGACTATTCTCATTTCAAAACAGTGATGAAAACCTTAAAAATCATTAAAATATAGCCTAATTAAAAAAAAAGACAACTCAAAACAGCATTTGTCATACGGCGCAGTGCAGTGGTTAAAGAGTATAGTTGTACTAATGCTATATACTGTGTGTGCGCGCATATTGTATAATATATAATTTTTTTATAAATATATTTTCTACCACAGATGTGACCACACGTTTACAATGCTAAGCAGCATATATACAGTACATTTTCTTCTGTCCTCCATGGACAGGGTGAGAGATCTGTTAAACATATAGTTCAGGGATATATTGAATAATCAACCACAGAAGGTGATTGTAGTGTTTTTAAAATGCTAATCTAACTTACATACATAAATACAGATTTGTCTGCCCTGCATAAAGTGTTTGATGTTTTTTATAGTCATTAATGTGCATTTACAAAGGTGAAATGCAATTTTGACTAGCATCCATATATCCTGTATACACATGCATACATATACTGTATATACATATTTGTCTCTTACTCTGACAAGGTAAGATTGCTGCTGTAAAAACTAGTGTGTTATTAATTAAGCACTTAACCACCGAAGGTGATTAAGATGCTTTTACAAGCTCAGGTTTACATTACATACATTGTATAATTGATACATTATATGGTCAATCTTGGGTACAAGTCCAATATATCAAATGTTTCAGTATTCTTATAGTATTTACAGAGTTCAGCATACCTCAGCCCAGGAGAGCAAAAGTCAGTCAATATAGGACATTCTACAATATAATGTTCAAGGCAGTGCATGTTTTCATTTTCACAACGTTGACACGTTGTGTATTCGACATTTGGGTTTTGAGAGAGCTGCTAGATACGTCTATATCCCAGGTGTATTCTGGCCACTATAACATCATATTGCCGAGTTCTTGCCCTATTAGTCCCATATGTGAATGTCTCACGATATTTATTGTAATGCTACAACTTTCAGGTCTTTGTGAATTGTTAGGTCAATAAGATTTTCATTGGATATTTAAGTATTCTCTTTGTCACTGCTAATGAAACGCCCCTTATCAATTTCTACTACTGGTTTTCTACAGGCTGTCTTTGCAAGCATATAAACAGTGTCATGCTTTGAGATGCCAATATGTGATGATATCCAAAGAAGTTTACTTTCAAATCTGTTTTCTTTAGCAGCTAAAATATTCATTCGAATATCACTGACTATTTTCTGGATGTTACTACTATGCGTGTTCAGTGTCCAGAGTGCACTCTGCAAGTCACTGTATTATTGTCTTAAAAATTCAGTGGCAAGTTATATTCCAATAAGTTCGGTTTGAGTTGTACTAGCCCAATCATTGACGTGCCTCACTGCTGATTCTATTTGATGTTGGATAGGTCTAGTATGGAAGATTTAATGAAAATAGTCATAATTAATGGAAAGTAATTTTGAGTACTTTATCATGAAATTTTTCCTGCTACTTAGGTTTTTTTTTTTCCTGACTCTCAACCCCATGGAATATAAAAATATATTCTTGTAGATATAGTGCATATGATATAACTGTTGGTCATTCCTGCCTCAACATTATTATTTTTGTGTGTTTCTAGGAATTGGTATGGATGCCAGCGTAACTCCTCTTCGTCACGGTGGTCTCTCCCTTGTGCAAACCACAGATTTCTTCTATCCTTTGGTTGATGATCCTTATATGATGGGCAAGTATATATACCGGTAGTTTGTTTTATACAGTTTAAAATCTTAGTTATTTCCGGATAGTTATTTCTTAGTTATACCGGATAAGCCAGATATCCAGATGAACAGAATTCTTAAAAGAGAAGTCCAAAAATTACCATATTCACAATTTTTTGTACCACAAACATCATTTCAAATTTCTACACTTTACAAATAAAAAATGTAATTTAAAAGAGAAACACTAGCTTGCCTTGTTGTAGTTTATCTTCTTGTCTGATACTGTCAATCTTGAAATGTGAAGCTCTTGAAAATTTACATAATCTAACTTCTGGTTATGCGGATTTCTGTCTAAATATGAAGTTTGGCAGAAAATGATCTGACTGCGATTTTGGCTGGGTAATCAAAATGTTCAGTTTAGAGGAATTCGGATAAGGGAGCCCATACAGTGTGTGTGTGTGTGTGTGTATATATATATATATATATATATATATATATATATATATATATATATATATATATATATATATATATATATATATATATATATATATATATATATACCTGTATAATTTTTTTTTTATTGGGGCATGGCAACAATTCTTCTAGTTATCCTTTAGTATATTTTTGCTTTTTCTTCCTTGTTAGTTCTTCCTTCTTCGCTTCTGTCCAACTTCGAAATTCTTTGTTTCCTGCTGTTGACTGTGTGTTTACTCGGATCGTCCATGTGTTTCTTTTGATCAAGCTGCCTTCCTCCTACCCCTGCTTCCAGTTTCTCATTGGCTGGGTGTATAGAACTTTCTCTGCATCTCTCGTCAATATTCTGCTACTAAAGGCCCCAAGATGGTTAAAAGCTCTTGTAAAATTATGTAATACACATGGCTACCCTGTACGTATTTTACAATGAATATATATATATATATATATACAGTATATATAATTTATGTATTTATTCATTCCCAAGTAGGCAGCCAGAATCCACATAGAGTAGTCAGGGTTGAATCCCATGTTCTCCCTTTGCATTAAATAGCAAATTTTACCAATTTGAATCTTGCTAAATTAAAAGAAAATTCCTCACTCAAATTCATCTAGCAAATTAAATGTTAGAATGGAAGATGAAGGTAGTATGGGAAGATGGTAATAGTGGATGTGGAAAGAAAAAAAAGTAGGTGCTACCAGGTACTCCTAGTAACAAGTCCAACATTCTGTAAATGTAGTTCCAAGATGAGAACTACGCTCATTGAGTCCCATCTTCCCAGCACTTTGTCGTGTGTGTGTGTGTAAAATATAATATACAGTATTACTTTCAGTATTACAGTATTACTATAAACTTTCCAGCGCTTTTAATTAAAAAATGTAAATGAATAGTTTTTTTATGGAGTAATAAATACTCTCAACCTTTAAGAAGCTTAGTATTTATTGTGTTTTGTTGTAATATGATTTATTTGATACTTTTTAGGAAAAATTTCCTGCGCTAATGTGTTAAGTGACCTGTTTGCTATGGGAGTGACAGACTGTGACAATATGCTAATGTTGTTGGGAGTCTCAACCAAGATGACTGAAAAAGAAAGAGATGTTGTTATTCCTCTCATGATGAGAGGCTTTAAGGTAAGACTTTTACATTACATTTACAGGTAGCTGACCAATACCAAAACCACATGAAAATGGTATAGGATGATTGAAAGTCTATATCTCTTCCCGTTCTTTTAGATAACATCAGCTGTTGTAAATTCACTAATAACATTGATAAAATAAAATTGAATGATGCTATTTAGATAAGATTCTGAATCTGGAAATTTTCTGGACTGTGTTGATAATAATCTGTAGACTATAAATATATAAAATGATAGGCATTAACCAGACCAGACTTTTTTGTATGATCTCCCACTTAATTGCTCTCTTTGGACTATCTGACAGTCCAATTGGGTCAGATAACCAGGAGACATTGTTTGAACATTTCAGTTTTCTAAAAATGTTGGTTACATGGATCACTATATTGCTTTACTATGCTTTTAAATAAATTTGATATAAATAGGAGTTTCTTTGAGTTTCTCTAGAGTTTATATTGTTACTGCCTCAAGAATTGAGTATTACTCGGTTTATTTAGTTAATACACACTTTTGTTTACCAGGATGCTGCATTAGAAGCAAACACCTCTGTAACGGGTGGTCAAACTGTGATGAATCCTTGGTGTACTATAGGTGGTGTTGCTACAACCGTCTGTCAACCCAACGAATTTATTGTGTAAGTCCGTACATTGTTACAAGTTTGTTTATTATATCTGGAAGACAATACTGTACTGTATGTGATAATCATGTTATGAACTTACCCGAGCCTTTGTCTTAAACCGTTTATATTTTGAACAAAAATGTTTCTCCCACATTTAGTGTTGTCTTCGTATGATTGCTAATTTGTCAAAGGCCCTCTGAAAATTTTCTGCTATACAATTTATACACGTGCCAAGAGCTTTTGAAGATAAGTTTTAATTTAACTTGATACTTGTACCAGTTTAGGGAGTAAGTAATCTCTGGAGAGCATACAGATCTCCATCCCAGGATGTAGTGTGTGTTTGTATTGTTACAATACTTTTTTTTTTCTCAATGTGGCCCTTAAAGTATAGGTTTAGTACATTGTTTTTATTCTCTCAGGCCAGATTGTGCTGTAGTCGGCGATGTCCTGGTACTCACCAAACCTCTTGGAACTCAAGTTGCTGTCAATGCACACCAGTGGTTGGACCAGCCAGAGAGATGGAACCGCATCAAGTTGGTTGTGTCAGAAGAGGATGTCCGCAAAGCTTACCAAAGAGCCATGGATTCAATGGCTCGCCTTAATAGAACTGGTACAAGTGTTTTATTTATAAATGCATTGCTTAGAGTATGTTTCAGTAACAGTGAGTTTATATATTTATGGCAGTGTCGCACACAATTTCTGATGAAATATTAAGAATGTACAAGGAATGGGGAAAGGTCATGCAACCAGAAATTAACTTGATTTGTTGTAAAAATATTTCTAGCTCCACCCCAATGCATAATGCCATGATTAAAATTTTTATAATGTTCTAAAATTAATGTATTTTAGATATGTGTTGGTAAATAATAACTACATTGTATATACAATTTTGTTTAACAGCACATTACAAAAATAACCTTTCCAACAGTCTGGCTTACTGCCATTTTCTTACTTCGAATATAGGACATTAAAGTTATTGAAATAGAACACTATTTCTAACCATTACTTTCTCCATTTCAGCTGCTAGGTTAATGCACAAATACAATGCTCATGGTGCTACAGATGTAACAGGATTTGGTTTGCTGGGTCATGCACAAAACTTGGCTAAGAATCAGAAAAATGAAGTCTCGTTTGTTATCCACAATCTCCCAATCATAGCCAAGATGGCTGCTGTTGCTAAAGCATGTGGCAACATGTTTCATCTGTTGCAGGTATTGTGTAAGATATTTTTTTTGATACTTCAGTGACCAATTGATTTACTGGCTCAAGGTCTTAGGATGCATATATTGTCATGCAGTACTTTCATAGTGGTGTGGGAAACAGTCATAGAAAGGATAGTAAACTATGAAAATTAAATCGTCTTCACTTCCACTGACCATTATATTTCCACACTGCAAGATCACAGATCATCACACAACCCATCCTCTTAAAAATAGTCGCTTTTCGCTCATATGCGCGCTGTGGCTAAAAATAAATGTAATTTGAAATGAAATCGGCTCACAAAAGTGATGTACTGTCCCATTTTCTGTCCGAGTCCTCCGGCTTACTCGGAAAAGTTAGGAGAGGAAAGTTTCAATTAACGGGTTGCATGACTTTTGAAACTTTAGGAGAATTTCTTGCCCTCCTAACCTACCAGAGGACCCTTAAGTTTTTCCAGTAATATTATTCAATAGTGTGTGTGTGTGTAGTGTGATATATTTATATAATAAAATGTGTGAACCATCGCGATACTCAAAATTATGGTGTGCAAATTAGTGATTCAGTTATGTTCATAAAACAACAGTTTTGCTGTTATTACACTATATACACAGGTTATATACAAGTATCTGCATGTTTTGGTCACCATAACAAAGCACTAAGTTGGTATGGTGAGCCATAAAGCAACGAGGAGTGGCCGCGACACACCAGTCAGCCAGCCACTGGCTGCCACTCCCTTCCTCACCTCGCTCGCCAACATTCTCCTCCCCACCATGCTGTTTTTGCTTTTATTCACTATATACAGACATTATATACAAGTGCCTACATGTTTTGTTCACCATACCTGTACATCTAAGCTGGTATGGTGAGTTCAGGCAATAAGACGTAGCTACACACAGTCAGCTGGTGGCTGAATCCCTCACTGGTTCAAGGCTAGATGCACTAATATTTCTCCTCCCACAATACTGTTTGTGGTGGTATTACACTATATACATACATTATTTATATATAAGTATCTACACATTTTATTCACCATAACTGTACAAATAAGATGGTATGGTGCTCAAAGACCATAGTAGCCACCAGTACACATGACATGTCATGCAGGCGACGCACCTCCCTCACCAAAATGGCTTCTCCCTACTTCTATTGTTGTTATTACACTCTATATACACACATTATATATAAGTATCTACATTTGAGTTCATAGCGAACCACTAAGCTGGTGATAAGTCCAGTCAATAAAAGGTGGCCACACAGTCAGAAGATGATGCCATCTCCCTCCCTAAACATTACTCCTCCAACCATAGAGCACAATGCTAAATATCACCACAATCCTGCTATTATCAGAATCTTCGTAATTTTTATCAGTCAGGGGTCTTCTCTAATACTATCACCACCAAATAATAGCAGGTTCATATATATTGTTACTTTTTAGGCAATGCTGTGTTCACAAGCTGAACAGCAGTGCTGTTAGCTCATGCTGTGTGTGCCAGCCTTGGTTTCTCACTCAGCACCGAGGCTCTCTCATCCGGATATGTTACCCACAATTTTTTTTCAAGATTGCATCTGTTTACTATTGGCCTTGACTGGACTATAGCTGCCCCTATCCCTCATGGGGCATTTAAAATCGTGCACTAGACCCTCAATCGTATATGTGTGTGTTGCGCTGTTTAAGGGTTAAGTGATATTTAAAAAAAAAATTTTTTTATTAATCATGTGCATTTCATCTAATTTCAGAACAACTGTTTTATTGCTGCTTTTTATTCGAACATGCATAATATTTTGTTACTATGTCCCTTTCCTTGGTTCTGGTTGTTAAAATTATCACCTTCTTTATTAGCACAACTTTTAAATTGTGTTCTTAACACTTTCGTTGCTTAGAGACAGATGATGTCCACAAATAACTCTGCGGATGTTCCTTAGGGGAGCCGAGCGGACAGCACGCGGGACTTGTGATCCTGGGTTCGATCCCAGGCGCCGGCGAGAAACAATGGGTAGAGTTTGTCACCCTATGCCCCTGTTACCTAGCAGTTAAATAGGTACCTGGGTGTTAGTCAGCTGTCACGGGCTGCTTCCTGGGGGTGGAGGACCGGGCCGCGGGGACACTAAAAAAAAAAAAAAAAAAAAAAAAAAAAAAAAAAAAAAAAAAAAAAAAAAAAACCGAAATCATCTCAAGATAGGGACGTAGGTGATGTCCAAAATTTAAATATTTGTTAAAATTTAAGTTTTTATCCGATCTTTATGGGACTGGTTTTAAAATTTGTGCAAACGTTTTCCCATTCTATTGCAAACTGAGGTGAACATTAACGTGAGAAACGTGAAAGAGTAAATATATTTGTGAGCAGGTGTTGCGGATGTGCCAATGGGTGCTCGCTCACGGATAATGCTTGGCTGACTTTCGGCTTTGCTGCAAGTGGGGCGCGCTGGGCTTTTGGACCATATATGCATATATCTCTGTAGGGAATTCTATTGCGTACAAATTGATACCCAAATGGGTCATAGCACGAGAATTGACGTGACAAAAGTGTGTACACATTTTATTGCTCTTGCTCGCTCATGGTCAACACTCGGCCGATTTCTGGGTTTGGCGCGGGTGGCATGCCGGGCTTTTGGATCTTGTATGCATGTACTCCTGTAGGGAATTCTATTGCGAACATTTTGATATCAAAATGAATGACATACAACTAAAATTGAGGTGATAAAACTTGAGAGTATGCACATTTCAGTGTTGCCACGCTCTCGCGGGAAATGCCCGGGCTACTTTGAGGTAGTCTGGGGTGTACACTCCCTGAACGTAAGTGTTAAGGTTGTAGTAGCTAATGTCTTCACTCTTAGTACTTAAGATGTCACTACCTACCAAATCGAGATATGAACACTTTTGCGTTCTGGGCGTGTGTGCCCCATACTACTCCAAGGTGGCCCGGGTGTTTCCCGCAAGAGTGAGGCAACACTGAAATGTGTGTACTCTTTTCACTTCTGTCACCTCAATTCTCATGCTGTCTTTCATTTTGGTATCAAAATGTTCGTAATAGAATTCCCAACAGATATATGCATACAAGGTCCAAAAGCCCAGCGTGCCCCACCCACAGCAAAGTCGAAAGTTGGTCAAGCGTTACCTGTGAGTGAGCACCCATTGGCACACCCGCAACACCTGCTCACAAATGTATTTACTCTTTTTCAAGTTTCTCACTTCAATCTTCACCTCTGTTTGCAGTAGAATGGGAAGACGTTGGCGCACATTTTAAAACCAGTCCCATAAAGATCGGATAAAAACTTTAATTTTAACAAATATTTTAATTTTGGACATAATCTCTGTCCCTAAGGAACGAAAGTGTTAACATTAAAACATAAACAGTGCTCTTAATCCATCATAAACGCACATTCTAGCTACTAAAGTAATCCTGACTCGATCGAGTCACAGCCATTTTATTTCGTTAAAGGAATACTAGCTATGTAAATAAGTTACCCAAGTTGTGTATAAACTGAATGTCAATGGAGGTATTGTCTTTAAATAAATTCTGAACATTTAATTTATTTTCTAATCAGGGGCTGAGTGCTGAAACGTCTGGAGGTCTTTTGATCTGCTTGCCTCGTGAACAGGCTGCTGCATATTGTAAAGACATTGAGAAACAAGAAGGCTACCAAGCATGGATTATTGGTATTGTAGAAAAAGGAAATCGTACTGCTCGCATCATTGACAAGCCACGGGTCATTGAAGTGCCATCAAAAGAGAAAGATGGAGAGCTGTGGTAGGACAGTGTTCATCTCTTGATGTGGCTGAAACAGCAACATTTTCATAAGTTCCACTGGATTGGCAGGATTGTTTGTTTCCACATGAAGCATTCGAGTTGTGCCAAGTATTATGAGGTGTTACACCCCAGGATGGGCATGTTTCATCTCATTTGGTGATACTACTTTAATGATTTTATACATAAAAGTTTATATCTTTCAGATGTTTTTCTAATTTCTGAGGTAGTTGATGTTAAAATTTTGCTTATGTTCATAGCAATTGGAAAAAGAAAGAATATCATATTATATGGTCAATAGTTACATTTCCCTGAAAATAGTAAAGCTCATAACTACAGTACTCATATTTGTTAAAATTAAATTTTACTCACAGTTCAATTTATTATTTTTGCAAGATCTGCAGTGTTATAACCCAGTGTCCCCACTCCCTCCATTTCCGCATACGAAGATGGGTATTTTTGTTCCTGTTGTAGGATCGGTTATTCAATGTTCTTAACAACGACATTCCTTATCTTGCTACAAAGGCTCAAAAATTATGGTTGCTTTATACAAGATGGTCAGCTGCTCGGTGACAATATTACTTTGCTCAAGAAATTAAAATTTATTTAAGATAGTTGAAGGCAGCAATATTATTCAGATGTGTGTCAATTATTTGGAGTGCTGGTAAACTTGATCAAAGTAAGGCAGTGGATGGCTTAAGCAGGAGAACACATTATGAAGGTCACTTATGAAAGTTGTTAAAAACGGTGAGTGACTGGAAGCACTGAAGCTCCTCCTTGCTCCATCCATCACATGTCAACCTTGGGAATAAATAAATACAAAAATTAAACTATGGTTGGTTTCTTTGTTTTTTATATATCAAATATTACCCTATTTAACATGATTAACCACCTCTCACTCTACCCATGTGATATTTTGACAGCAGACTGGAAATCCCTTTACACACACTTCCCCTCTATTTACTACACATTTCTGTGTGTTCCTCAATTCCTTCTATTTCAGATAACCTTGCATTATGCTGCGCTCCACTGCTTCCCGTGCTATACTTCCTACTGCTTGGAACAATTGCATTCCTTGTTGGAATTCAGACTAGCCGTGCTGTTCGCCGTAGACGCCCAGCTTGGAAGAAGTTCGGATTCCAGCAAATGTTAGAATCCTTCATTTTATTTAAGCACTTCTGAACAACTCCCTGACTTAACCATTGAACATCTGTGTGATAATGAAGTCTGTGATGGTTCTGATTTTCTTTTGAGAGATCAGTAACAGCCTGCCTGTGATTGAGATTTTGTGCTCGTGTACATTTATTGTCTGACGTCGTCTCCATTACATTATTCATATTTTATGTTTTGCTGAACACATTTTGAATGTAATGAAATTTTCAAAGTACTGTGTAGTTTTTGTTCGCAGCTAGTTTCCCTGTAATTTAGTAGTCTGACACACCTTTGTCCAGGATTAATGCAAAACTTGGATATCAGTTGGTTTTTCCTTTTATTGGTGTCAATTTTACAAACTCTTTGTTTACCTGCATGCTTTCATCTGGGCTGCTGGAATGTTGATCCTTGGAACCATCACAAGGTAAGGTTCTAATAATTCACTGACCCTTTCAGCAACTACTCTTTAGACTTATATTTGCAAAAGATATCCGTTTCTCTGGGTAAGTGCTACCCGATGTACTTTATTAATTTTTCTGGTATTATGATTGAAGTATATGGCACTGATAACTGCCTTTCATAATTATAATGCAACAACTACATATGACTGGTATTAGTTACATTGCCCGAAGAAAAAAGCCCACTGCAGGACCTAATGGCATCCCGTTTTGAAAATACATGTGCAGTACTTTTAACTTAATGGTGTTAGTTGGATGTGGTGAGTGCATCTTTGGCTGCATATAGAAAGGTGGCAGGCTTCATACTGCTTATGGGTCACATGATTAAACTGTTTTAACATGTAGCCCATATGGTTAAACAGCATTTGCAACCAAATATAGGGCACGGGTAGTTGCTGAATATTAACTTTTTTTTTTTTTTTTTTGTTAACCATGTCTTTCATGTGGTTTTTGGAGCAATACTCGTTACTTCCAACTTGGTTTCCATTTGTCACACTACATTGACACTGTTTTATGGGTAAATCGTTCATGGTCATCAATTTTGATCAAATGAAAGTGTACTACTATTACCTAGAATTATAATACATTGGCCCCATTATTTTTTTTTTTTTTTTTTTTAACCAAGGCAATTATTCCTTTAAAGATTTGTCATCAGTTTGCATTATAATCATTTTCTTGCCTCTTATTGCCAATGTGAAGATGTTTACCCAGGGCAGTTTTAAGCATGTCCCTCCTTATCCTTGTCCATAATGGTTTAATCTCTGCTGCTGGTTTAGATAGATTGTATCTTAAATTGACAATCTCACTACAGTATTTGATGTATAAATTTGTATTCTTCAGCTCTGGCTGCAGTTTGTGTTCAAAAAGTATTTTGTCTTGGGCTACAAAACACAGCTTTAAGTTGCCTACTCTGAAAACTTGTTTTATGACAGTGTACTAGGAAATGCTCTTAACCCGTGCAAAATGCCATTGTGGGTACCATTCCCATAAATGTTACATTTATTTTGCTCTAATTTTTTTAATTTTTGGTGCCATAATTTGATAGAATGAGAGAGGGGGATTTATAGCTTATATATTGTGACCATCTTCTTGCCACCAAAACAATTGGTTGGAAAACATCTCCGGCTTAATAACATATTTACTTAGATTTCACGTGGCTGGTTCTTGATGATCTTCATGAGTGACGATTTCCCCGTCCTTATCACCTTTTTCTCTTTTCATCTTCCCCTCTCTTTCCCTAAGTGGCAGTTTGCTAAGGCTGACTGGAACCTTTTCGCCCTACATGCTACTCTCCCCGACCTCTCCCTTGAGCCCTCCTTTTTCATGACACCATATTTGGCGCTGCCCTCCACTCTATTGCTCGCTCTACCTCCCAGAGCATGTGGAAATGCATTCCCTGGTGAAATGCAGACTGGGCTCGGGCTGTCCGCTGTAAGCAGGCATCCAAAAAGTAACACTGACGCCGGCAGATGGCTGCCGCTTTCATTTCATTTCGGAAGGCGAGTGCAGTGGCCTTTAGGACCATCCTTACAACTAAACGTGAGAGTTGGAAATCTCGTCTCCACGATTGCGTCCAATACTCCTTTGGCCCAGATCTGGAAGAAAATCTGTAAGATAGCGGGTAAATTTGTTCCAGGTGTCTCCCCAATCCCTCACCTCTGTGGTACTATTGTGGGGGATCCAGTGGCAGTTGCCACTAAACTAAGTTCCGACTTTTCGACTGTTTCCTCCCGTTCTCGTCTCCCTCTTTCCTTAATCATAAGCCCATTCTTGAATCCTCTCCCCCTAGACTTTTGCACCCATCTCCAGTTTCCCTATAACGATCCCTTCTCTCTCCCTCTCTCTCTCTCCCAAACTTCAGTCTGCCCTGGCCCTCTGAGGTTCTACAGCAGTGGGCTTGGATGGCATTCATTGAGATGCTTCATCTCCCGCATGTGCATTTTGGTATTTACCGAATCTGTATAACCAAATCTGGGAGTCATCGCCAATTCCTGAAAACTGGTTCCAGGTGGTGGTTCTTCATATTCAGAAACCAGGGTCTCTAGGGACATGCCCTAAGGACTTCTGCCCCATTGCCCTTACAGGTTGCATTTGCAAACTCTTTGAGCTTATGGTCAATGTCTGTCTGGTGGGGTACTTGGAACACAACCACCACCACATCCATTTCTCAATTTGGCTTTCACAAATGCCGCAGCACAACTGATATCTTTGTGAACTTGGTCTATGTTCGTACTGCTTTTGCTGCAAAGGCCTCCGTTGTTACTGTCCTTTTTTGACCTGGAAAAGGCATACGACACCACCTGGAGATACTACATTCTGTCCCAACTCGTTCTTTTGGCCTTCGTGGTAATCTCCCTCTCTTCCTACAAAGTTTCCTCTCTAGTTGTTTCTTTTAGAGTGAGGCTTGGTCCTGCTCTCTCTGCCTCTTTTTGGCAATACAAAGGTGTACCCCAAAGTAGTGTTCTGAGCACTACCTTTTCCTTGTTGCCCTCAATGGTCTTCTTTCCTCCCATCCCTCTGGCATCTTCTCAGCACACTACACTACACACACACAAATCACAGTAGTGTGATGCATCAAATTAACAAATCCATAAAGGCCGTGACGAGGATTTGAACATATGTCCGAGAGCATCCCAGACAGTGCCTTAATCGACTGAGCTACGACATGGTCAAAAAGAGTTGAAACCAGAAATTCTACTGAACTTACTTGGATCCTGCAACCTCTGAGACAGACCAGGGTTTTACACAACTCCCCCATGCACTCGAGCTATGTCAATAGGCTGTTCTACCTCTTCGCCCTTGCTTCATTACACGAAGTCAACGTAGGTTCGAATCCTCGTCACGGCCCTTGAGGATTCTCAGCACTGTCGATCTTACCCTTTACTATCAGGGTGATGACTGGCCTTTCCTTCAACGACGGCTTTAACTTGCGATTGATGCTGTGTTGTCCTGGGCTACCAATCATGGCTTAAAGTTCTCTGCAACTAAAAATTGTGCCATGACTTACTCGGAAGCAGGTCATTCCTTTGCCCCTTTTTGTCACTTTATGGTCATCTTGTGTACAAAGATTCTGCTAAGCTTTTGGGGTTAATCTTTGACACTCGTTTTTCTTGGTCACCCCATATTGCTTACCTCAGAGTTGAATGCTCTAAGGTCCTTGACCTACTTCGAGGCCTTGTTACATACAGTACGTCTTGGTGAGTGGATAGGTGCATGCTCCTCTTTACATTCCTCTTGTACTGTCTAAGCTTTACTATGCTTGCCACACTTGCTTGTCTGTTTCTCTTACTCTTTGCCGTCTGGATGCTCTGCACCATACTGGGTTGCGCCTCAGCTCTGGTGCCTTTCGTTCGACTCCTACCCTAAGCCTGTATGTTGAAACTGGCATCCTGTCTATAGGATCGCCATGATTGCTGCTGTCTTTGCTACCTTGCATGGTCCTTACAACACTTTCACTCTAGCTTATATCGTACTTTGACCTTTACCCTCTTGTGGTTCCTGTAGAGTTCTCGCCTACAAGATTCTCTTTAGATTCGTGTTTCAAATATTTCTCGTGTCGTTCCATCCGTGTCCCCATGATGAGTCTCCCTTCCTACATTTTGTACAACTTTGACCCGCGTGTCTAAAGCCTTTACCCCTCCTACAGTTCTGAAATGCCTCTTCCTCAAACACTTTTCTTCACATTCCCACTCCATTTCTGTCTTCACCGATGGGTCCAAGTCTGCAGACGGGGTAGGCTACTGTTGTTTTTCCTGACCACACCTGTGTGTGTTGCCTGCCTCCAGAGACTAGCATGTTCACAGCAGAACTTATTAATACTATTTTGTATGCTCTTTGTCATCTGCTTTCTTGGTGTCAGCCCTCCTTTGTTGTTGACTCAGTGCCCTCATGGCTCTGGAGTCCTTTACTCCAGTCCATCCTGTAGTAATCAAAAGTCAACATTGGCTGTGTCTTATCTCCAGTAGATTTAAGAGAGTGGCATTTTGCTGTGTTCTCAGCCATATTGGTGTTCTTAAATGAACATGCATACGCTGCTGCTAAGGAGGCTATACGCACTTGTCCCATCTCCCGTAAAAGTATCCCCTATTCCGACTTCTACCCAGTTAGCTGTTCCTTGACCCTTGCCCGTTAGCAGGGTCATTGGTCTGTTACTGGTAACAAACTGCGTGCTCTTATCACTGTAACTGGCGGGGAGGAAACAGCTCTGGCGAGGTTATGTATTGGTCATACTCGTTTAACTAACGGACACTTAATGGAGCGCCGCCCTGCTCCTTATTGTCCAAACTGCATTGTCCCTCTTATAGTCATGCATATCCCTGTTGAATGTCCGGACTTCCAGAATGTGTCTTGCTTCCCAACCGATCCTCGATAGCATTCTTGGTGAATCTGAGACCTTCGATATCGTTCGCCTTATGTGCTTTTGTTTTCTTATTGGCATACCTAGTGATACTTGGTGCCCTACGAATATCCCGTACATTTGATGGTGCTACATAGGCTTCCTGGCTTGGTGCCTTTTGTTGATAATTACTTTTAATTTTTTCAGTTAAATCTTTGACTCGCTAGGCGTCTTGCACTCTTTGTTTATAATAAAATATTAATTCCACAACTTCCCAGCCAAATAGTGCTCTTAGTTTTAGATTTAATGTTCTCTGATAGACCTATAATCCTTGCAATTACCTATGATTGGGTTTGCCAAAATGGGATTACATTGTATGAATACAGTATTTCTTAATGTCTTCCAAAAGCACACATTAAATATGTAGTTTTAGACTAATGTAAACAGTATCTTTCATTACTTTTGGAGATTGTTTTATACAATAAATTTGCTGTCTTCAAAAAATATTCAAGGGGACCTTAGTCATTTATTATCATTAAAAAGTACAGATTATAACTTCATTTTTATGCTTTGCATACAAGACACCAGTCGACTCAAGAGTACAATTTCTTGTCATGAAAATTAACAATAGCAACCTGCTAATTCTATATGAAAATATTAAATGAATCTATAGGACGTATACAGTATATAGAATTACATAATTGAAATAGATATTATTGAGGCTTTGTGTTGATAAAATTCATTCATAAGACCATTTTTAACAATTTTCCCCAAATATGCATCAATTGATACTAAATAATTCTAAAAATTTAATATCGCAAAGAAAAAAAAGAAAAATTAAAGCATGCAAAATGAGAAACTAATGAGGATTAGTTTGCATGTATGTAATTTAAGTTTGGTTTTCCTCTTTATTCATGATTACTGTCAACATATGTTGCTTTTCCCCACGAAAATAGTAATACTAGAAGGGGTTAGGCAACTACTTTTCCAATGATTTTGTATTTTGAAACAAACTGGCATCTGTCCAGTATTGCCAATATTTTAATAAATTACTTAAGTTTGCAGGTCTCTTAAAGTTAAACTAAAAAACCTAGGCCTTTTTGCTGTTTAGAGCAAAAATTAAATTTAATAGAATTAACAGCCTTCGATATTGGTAATCCTGTTTGATGGCACCCATTAGTTGGTAGGCAATTGTCAATATGCACCATTATAAACAAGTTAGAATTATTAAAATTCAGCCTAAATAGATGTACCTATACTTTGACATAATTCAAACAAATTGCAAATACTATTTAGTCAGCTGGGGTCAGTGCTCCATTGGAGTTAACATTCAAACTGATGCCATTCTAAAAAAAAATTAGTGCCTTGACTAGCGGAGGTTGTAAGCAACGAAATTAATGTTCAAATTCAGGAGCCATTTGAGAATAGCTTGAATGTTAATAAACTTATTTAGTTCTTATTCATAGCCAGTTTCCTTTTACACCAAAGCTCCAATTCTCAGGAAAGTAATCCAGTGCAATGAATCTACAAAGCAACCAGTTACTGGGTGACATTACTAAAGTAAAGAAATGGAAAAACTATTTATAGGGGATGTAAAATATTAAATAGTTCATTTAATTGTTTACACTTCTGAAGAAGCTGGGTAAAATGATTATGAAATAGGATCATCTGGCAACACAGATGTGGAGTACATGTAATGTTTCAAGTATAGGCCAGATAAATGTGGAGTAACTGGTCGGATATAAAAAGGAACTGCCTCACTTAGTGGAGACTATATTTATTGGTCTATTCTTAGACATGACCCTTGTATGGTCACTTATTTTGCAATTTTGAGGTCCAGGCCTAACACCACAAACATGGTAACTGACACTTGAAGGGTAAATCAGATCATAATTCATGTGGGAGGTGTTTATTTAAACTTGACATGTGGCCACAGTACATATGCTCTAAGTTTCAGGCAACCACTGTATGTTAGGAGTTAACATCTCCTGGAAGCCTAGCTGGAGTGGATTGGCTTCTTCACCACAGAAATGTACATGCAAAACAATATTCCCTATTATTAATAAATATTTTAAAACTCTCAATAGGCTCTAACTTAAAAAATACAAATACAATTCTCAATAATTAATTATCAAGATACTAAATGTAATTGAAGCCTTTAATTTAAGTCCACAGATGCTTCCTCTTGTTAGAAAAAAGAATGATAAAATTCATATTCTAGAAAAATAATAAAGAGTGGAGGTGATAGGTAAGAATGCACAGTTCATTCTCAAATAGGCGGTGATCTTTTAAATTTATACTTGGATACTGTTACCATCTCACTTCCCATACATCACCACTGTAATGTTGGTCATCACTACATTTGCTATTAAAGCTGTGATCAACAAATGACCAAATATTTTAAAACCAAGAAATGCCTCTTTAACAAATGTATCTGATAACCCCCAAAACAGTGATAAAGGTAGAACCAAGGCCTTCAATCTCAATGAGGTAGACTATTCCAAGGGTGAGCTGCTCTAGCCATACCACTTGGAAGTAACCTAAATTACTAATGAACAATCAACCACTGAACACAGACCATTGGCCTTTGGAAAGTAATACCTCATTGATAAAGAATAGTCTTTTTAAAGCCTTCCATTTGCTATTTGAAGGCACACAATGGACAAAAGCTTCAGTTATTTCACCATCAATCTCCATACAGACCGGGAGGATAAGGCATTGCACCTTGCTAATCAGATAAGTTTTAGGAATGATTTGATGTAGACAGGTGAATGCCCAATCTTTAGGCCATAAACATCACATCTATTAAGGTTGTTTACAGAATACCTTGTCTTCACCAGGAATATTATGTCTATAATCAGCCTTATAAATTTAATCTATATATACATACTCTACTCACAATGCTCATAGAGTTAACTGTAACACTCTACTGAGACACCAATCATAAATCATCATAAGAGGAACAGGCAAAACAATGCTACATCACATTCAGCACAAGTCATCATGGGATAAACTATATACAATGGGGAACAGTAGTTATATTTTTTACACCACAGCATTCAAAGGAATCCAATTAACAAAAATAATAAAAACAGTATGTGAGGCAGCATGTCTTGCCTCACACCTCCACAAATTTCTTACAAACCCCACTGGAGGACAGCTATTGAAAAACAGGACGACAATCTGCGGAACAGCCGAGCGAATGACCTGAATGCCTCTACAACACACTCATTCATCCTCAAGCTAACCACACTACTCAACAATAAGCTTTAGTTTGCTCTCACCTGCCACCACAAATTCTCCCTCATTTATACTTTAACTTGCAGCATTCTAGAGGCAGAATTTGGACAATTATATCCCTGGAGATAAGTCAACGTGGTATATTTTACAACTGGCAAACTCTTGGAATATTTTGGGAGGCTCTGTTATTAGTTACAAGCTGAAGCCCTGGTGAATCAGTGTCTACTGTTAATAACAAACCAACCTGAACAGTTTTCACACAGGTCTTAACTTTTGGAGACTCTTGAATTAATATTTACATGCTGTAACCTTGGTAGGATGGCATGCCAGCACCGTAGTTAATGTTGTTAGCGTAACCAGCGTTGGAGTAGCCTGGTCCCATCATGCCCGGGCCAGCTGTGATCATAAGCTGAGGCTCACCTGCAAGGGACACACCTTTGGAGCTTTTGCCAGACACTTGTGCAATTACAAAAAAAAAAAAAAAAAAAAAAAAAAAAAAAAGTGAAACTAAACAAAATATATCAAATAATTTCCATGCCTCCACAAAGTGCAAAATTATGAGAATCAATGTGGAATAAGAATTTACTCAAGAAACATTAACAGTGTATACAAGAGGAAGTGAGGAAGACAGGAAGTGTTGCAAGATTCATGTAACACAAATCAAGTAGCTGATGTGTGATTCAGGCACAAAATAAAATATAATTAAAGCAATTGGTGCAGGAGCTACTCACCAATCATATTCATCATAGGCTTGCTCTCATTAGTTTCATTTTCTTCAGACCTGTGCTTCTCAATGTCTTCAAGTTTGTTAACCTTTGTGACATACTCTCGCATTACATTAATCAAATAAGGCATGGCAAAGTCCATGATATTATGCCTCCATGCCAATTCTAATATTACATCAGGATGGAGAAGATCATAACAATGGAACAGGCAAGCAGCAAAGCAATCAAAGTTGCCGTTCTCAAGGAACCACTGAAGGAGCTCTTCTGCAGTGTCAGAGTTCTTACTTTCAGCAGCATACTCCATGGCATCCTAGGTGTGGGATATATGTACATATTGTGTCAAGTCAAAATTGCATAAAATCTAAGATAAATATAACTATTATATTAATAAATATAACTTATATTTAATAAATATAACATTTAATAAATATTAACGATACATATTAACCTCGTGTATAAATTTATACACAAGGTTAATAAATAATAATAAACTAACTACAGTATTCCCAACTTTATTTAGACAAGTGGTTTAAGCTCATGTGACTTAAAAAAAGAACTTAGAAAATTTATACAGCAATACCTTAAAGAGTTTATCCTTTTTGCACAGCTCCACAGACTGTTTCCACCTGTTGTTGCCTTTGTACAAGTATGCAGCAATCCGACGGAACTCTATCAAATCGTGCTTCTCCAGAGACTGAGCCAGAGCAATGTTGTCAAAGTGGTCAAAAGCATCAATGGAAGTCCTTAAGCCTGTGTAATCTTCTTCTTCAATGAGTAAAGAGTTGAGAGCCTCATTGATAGCTTTGTTATTTAGTGACTGCACTGATCTTAAGTAACCTTTGACCAATTTTAAATGGTTTGCCTGAAAGAAAGCAATTGATAACGAGTGTTAAAATTTAACCAATATTATTAGCCTATACATTTTGGTCATGGACTTTATATAGTTTTTGTTTTTTACCAGAAACACTAGGGTAATCTTCAAACAATATCCAATTTCCAATCAATGCTGGAAAATTTAAATACTTTGACCACATGGTTAAAACAATGAGGACTACAAATACCTTTGTGAAGTAATTGACTGCTCTCGTATGGTCCATCCTAGGTGAGAGAACTAGCAGCAGGTCATTTAGAAGCATTGGTTTGTAATCCAGGTAAAACTGAATAGCTTTATAATACAACTCGATGTTTGCAACCTGAAAAGACCAAAATATTAGCAGGTTATCCGCAAAATATTAGCAGGTTATCCAAACAAATTTCAAATGGAGAAATTATGCATCAAATGTTGTCCAAAGTAGAGTAAGCCTTCTGGGTGCTTACTTTTGTGATAACGTCTTTGAAGTGAGACTCTCGCCAGGCTTCTGTAGGGTGTGCCATCATGGTGAGAACAGCATTATCATACTCTTCATACTTGTCATACAGGAATACAAGCTCAGCCCATAGATGTGCTTGTTCTGCTGCACGTAACACCTGCAATAATGTTTCTTTAGTAACTAGCAGACATCTTTTACACATCAAACTTTAATATTGTACTATTAAGCTTCCCCATAGCCATTTACTCAAAATCCAGATAATATTTATGTATATTTGCAAATGTGTAACCATTTTAAGTATATGAGAGAACTACTCTAACCAACAAGTATCAGGTCTTGTATAAACTTAAAAGTTTTCAAATATAAAGTCAATATATAACAAATGTTAATTAAATTTGTGTACACAATTTATAACTAGTGATATGAAAGAATTGTACATTTTAGAATAAGCTGGGAAGAACAACATTTTGGGGTCTTACCTTTGGAATGTTGACCCTAGACCAGAAGAGCTCAAGATGTTCTCGCATCTTCTCAGGCTTGTACTTTGAGTAAAGAATGGCAAGTTCTGTGAACATACCCATGTGTGCACGTTCTAGTCCCAAAGCTGCCTCCAGCAAGTTGATTAACTCGTCAAAATACCCTCGATCCTGTGGAGACAAATTTAATGCCCACATTTAGTGCCAAAACAACCATCACTACAATTAACACACAGTTCAGAAAACATTTATGCACGGCTTGTGTTGACATTAAAAGGTAAATCTGAATTAATAATTGCAATACAATCAAATGGGAATTAAAACTAAAGTGTTTTATCATGAGAGAATGCTTGATGTGTTAAGCTTACGAGACAAAGCTTAAAGTAGTTAGAATGGAGAAAGGAATGGAGTAAAGATTGTAAGAGCAAGAGTATAACAATTACATATGGTTAGTGAGATAAAACAATGATTGAATATAAATAATTTAATACAAGTAGTACAGAAGATGACTAGCAACTTTTTTCTCAAGATGACAAATGACTAGATATGCTACCAGTATACCTATAGTCATATGATGTGATGGGATACTTCTATGGCTGTTTTGGTGTAACGTAATGATGCTAGGTACTGTGTCCGTTGCTGTTTAGTGTAGAAGACATGATCAATTACTGTACTCAAATCTTTCCTATTCTTTCCATAAGCCAATTGTTTACTTATGTTTCTCTTGGAAACACTAATAAAATAATGACAATCTAAGGCTTTATAAATTTGAGTAAATTCATATAAACTAACAGTATAAAAGCAAATTACTTCTTACCTGGTAATAGTTGATGAGATCTTCCAGTTCATCTGCATGAACAACAATATGAAGGCCACAATTCTGAGCCAAACGAAACTGTTCATTGTCCACACATGCGAAGCATACTTCTTTCCACGTTCTTGTGCTATTAATATAGGAAACAATAGGAAACAATCATTAAATAAGCAAAATATTAAACATACTTGTTTAAATCACATTTTGTAATAATTACAGCAAAAAGACAAATTAGCTTCCCCTAGACTCTGCAAAAAAAATAATTTAGATACAGTATAATTATGACACTGTTACCTCTGAACTCCATTTTTGAAATGGGGTGTCCGGATGCAGACTTGTAGACTTATGCCAGAAATAAAGAAGTTAAGCTATGAAGAAAAGGTGTACTGATGTATTGGTACCAGCCCATTTTTGCAGGCCTTCTACATTCAATAACCTTGTAATATTACCAAGGTACTGTAATTGCAGTGAATCCTTTTCTTTGAATTTACTAATTCCCAGGATATTTCGCTCGCTCTCTCTCGCGCTCGCTCGCTCTGTCTCTCTCTCTCTCGCTCGCTCTGTCTCTCTCTCTCTCGCTCGCTCTGTCTCTCTCTCTCTCGCTCGCTCTGTCTCTCTCTCTCTCTCGCTCGCTCTGTCTCTCTCTCTCTCGCTCGCTCTGTCTCTCTCTCTCTCGCTCGCTCTGTCTCTCTCTCTCTCGCTCGCTCTGTCTCTCTCTCTCGCTCTCGCTCTGTCTCTCTCTCTCTCTCTCTCGCTCGCTCTCTCTCTCTCTCTCGCTCGCTCTGTCTCTCTCTCGCTCGCTCTGTCTCTCTCTCTCTCTCTCGCTCGCTCTGTCTCTCTCTCTCTCTCGCTCGCTCTGTCTCTCTCTCTCTCGCTCGCTCTGTCTCTCTCTCTCTCGCTCGCTCTGTCTCTCTCTCTCTCGCTCGCTCTGTCTCTCTCTCTCTCGCTCGCTCTGTCTCTCTCTCTCTCTCGCTCGCTCTGTCTCTCTCTCTCTCGCGCTCTCTGTCTCTCTCTCTCTCGCGCTCGCTCTGTCTCTCTCTCTCTCGCGCTCGCTCTGTCTCTCTCTCTCTCGCGCTCGCTCGCTCTGTCTCTCTCTCTCGTCGCTCGCTCTGTCTCTCTCTCTCGCGCTCGCTCGCTCTGTCTCTCTCTCTCTCTCGCTCGCTCTGTCTCTCTCTCTCTCTCGCTCGCTCTGTCTCTCTCTCTCGCGCGCGCGCTCTGTCTCTCTCTCTCTCGCTCGCTCGCTCTGTCTCTCTCTCTCGCGCTCGCTCGCTCTGTCTCTCTCTCTCGCGCTCGCTCGCTCTGTCTCTCTCTCTCGCGCTCGCTCGCTCTGTCTCTCTCTCGCGCGCTCGCTCGCTCTGTCTCTCTCTCTCTCGCGCTCGCTCGCTCTGTCTCTCTCTCTCTCGCTCGCGCGCTCTGTCTCTCTCTCTCGCGCTCGCGCGCTCTGTCTCTCTCTCTCGCGCTCGCTCGCTCTGTCTCTCTCTCTCGCGCTCGCTCGCTCTGTCTCTCTCTCTCGCGCTCGCTCGCTCTGTCTCTCTCTCTCGCGCTCGCTCGCTCTGTCTCTCTCTCTCGCGCTCGCTCGCTCTGTCTCTCTCTCTCGCGCTCGCTCGCTCTGTCTCTCTCTCTCGCGCTCGCTCGCTCTGTCTCTCTCTCTCGCGCTCGCTCGCTCTGTCTCTCTCTCTCGCGCTCGCTCGCTCTGTCTCTCTCTCTCGCGCTCGCTCGCTCTGTCTCTCTCTCTCGCGCTCGCTCGCTCTGTCTCTCTCTCTCGCGCTCGCTCGCTCTGTCTCTCTCTCTCGCGCTCGCTCGCTCTGTCTCTCTCTCTCGCGCTCGCTCGCTCTGTCTCTCTCTCTCGCGCTCGCTCGCTCTGTCTCTCTCTCTCGCGCTCGCTCGCTCTCTCTCTCTCTCTCGCGCTCGCTCGCTCTCTCTCTCTCTCTCGCGCTCGCTCGCTCTCTCTCTCTCTCTCGCGCTCGCTCGCTCTGTCTCTCTCTCTCGCGCTCGCTCGCTCTGTCTCTCTCTCTCGCGCTCGCTCGCTCTGTCTCTCTCTCGCGCTCGCTCGCTCTGTCTCTCTCTCGCGCTCGCTCTGTCTCTCTCTCGCGCTCGCTCGCTCTGTCTCTCTCTCGCGCTCGCTCGCTCTGTCTCTCTCTCGCGCTCGCTCGCTCTGTCTCTCTCTCGCGCTCGCTCGCTCTGTCTCTCTCTCGCGCTCGCTCGCTCTGTCTCTCTCTCGCGCTCGCTCGCTCTGTCTCTCTCTCGCGCTCGCTCGCTCTGTCTCTCTCTCGCGCTCGCTCGCTCTGTCTCTCTCTCGCGCTCGCTCGCTCTGTCTCTCTCTCGCGCTCGCTCGCTCTCTCTCTCTCTCGCGCTCTCGCTCGCTCTGTCTCTCTCTCGCGCTCGCTCGCTCTCTCTCTCTCTCGCGCTCGCTCGCTCTCTCGCGCTCGCTCGCTCTGTCTCTCTCTCGCGCTCGCTCGCTCTGTCTCTCTCTCGCGCTCGCTCGCTCTGTCTCTCTCTCGCGCTCGCTCGCTCTGTCTCTCTCTCGCGCTCGCTCGGTCTCTCTCTCGCGCTCGCTCGCTCTCTCTCTCTCTCGCGCTCGCTCGCTCTGTCTCTCTCTCGCGCTCGCTCGCTCTGTCTCTCTCTCGCGCTCGCTCGCTCTGTCTCTCTCTCGCGCTCGCTCGCTCTGTCTCTCTCTCGCGCTCGCTCGCTCTGTCTCTCTCTCGCGCTCGCTCGCTCTGTCTCTCTCTCTCGCTCGCTCGCTCTGTCTCTCTCTCTCGCTCGCTCGCTCTGTCTCTCTCTCGCGCTCGCTCGCTCTGTCTCTCTCTCGCGCTCGCTCGCTCTGTCTCTCTCTCGCGCTCGCTCGCTCTGTCTCTCTCGCGCTCGCTCTCGCTCTCTCTCTCGCGCTCGCTCTCTCTCTCGCGCTCGCTCTCTCTCTCGCGCTCGCTCTCTCTCTCGCGCTCGCTCTCTCTCTCGCGCTCGCTTGCTCTCTCTCACGTTTTGCAGGCATACCACTAGGACCTAGTTGTGGCTCAATGCTTGCTTGTTTAAGAATCTGTCTAAAGACACTTGTTTTCCCTACGGTTTTAATACTTGTCTGTAGCGAGAAATCACATTGTCATTAAAAAGGTTAATGCAACAGCCTGCTACAGCTTTATCTGGACGAGTTTTCTTGACAAAACTTTGCAGTTTTACCCATACAGCACACATTCTCTTAATGAGGAAGGGACATCCTCTATGGATCCTATGGCATGATATATAATAAGTTTTAGGTTCAGAAACCAAAAAAGCAGAAAACAATGAAATTCTTTACAAAGAATTCAAGCGCGGTCGTCACTAGACGGGATACACTGGTAAACTGAGCGCGCCTCGCCCCCAGCCAAAACACACACTTGTCGACCAATACAAACTCAAAATCCGAGGCAAACCTCGGATACCAAGTCAAATTTTACGAGGAAATTGACCTCTTGTACCAAATAATTCGTAATGAGGGGTATTTGTCAACCGAAGTTCCACTGTACTTAGAAAAAGCATATGAAAGTAAATAAAGGGTACTGGAGAGTAGTTGTAAAAGCTAGCATGAGGTTAACCGTGTTGGACAAATTTTTCATGGCACCTAGTACAAAAATTATCGCTCCTACCAGTGCATGATAGGAATTTATGATGTAATGAATCATGGGCTTGATATCAATGTTGGTGTATGTTAGGGTTAGGCAATGTCACCCTCTATGTGAAATAAGTGTGAATGATAAATGCTAGAAGTGATCAATTAGTTTAAATACTTCCTTTGTATGATATTCAAGATGTATTTGAGCAATCAAAGAATTAGTTGTGCCAACTATTACGAACGACTGCATGAGTACTGTGTAGTGTCAATGTGAAAAAAAAAAAAGAGATGAACAATCTGAAAAGTGTGTTGCAATAATGGACAGAATAAGGAATTTGAATATCATGAAGATAGTGCAAAAGCCAATAAACCACAAGATTGAAGTGAGTGTAGCAAGACAGTTTGAGCATGTTGTATAAACACAAAATGGTTGACTAGTGAAGACTATTTAACACTTTGACAGCTCAGCCTCTCCACATGTTCCCGACCGTACACGTACCGGGCTCCCAGGGACCTTGCTCGGCAACACGCAAATTGTTTACAATAATTTTGCTTTCTAAGTTATTTGTTGCATTGTACCTACTGTAGAAATTTTTTGTCAAAATGTGTTCATTTGTATGAATACAAATGGATTCTCTAGACAAGATGCAAAAATAAAAATATATTTATAACATTATGCAAATCAGTAATGAATATGAATGTTTCCAATCATTTTAACATTCTTCATTTGTTATTCATCCTAAATAGTAAGTAAAAATATACAAATGTGCACATGTAATTTGTCTATACAACAGTATATATAAAAAAAAAAGTTCCTACATATGATGCAAAAATGTTTATAATAATTCAAAATTTTGTAAAGTTATTTGTTGGGTTATAATTACAAATTTGGTGTCAAAATGTTTACAAATGAATTCTCTTGAGTATAGATGCAAAAAAACGTTTATTTATAATAGATTATGTGTAACAGCGATGAATACACAAATGTTTATGACGTAAGCGAGGCTTCATGGGCGAGCTGGAAAATCTCTGGTATGTTCACCCATGCCCTAAATATGCTCTGTACACAAAATAGCAGCAATTTTAATAATTCTTTGTTGATACACATAGAAAAGCTCGAGAGATCAAAACCAAAAATTTAGCCACCTGTATGTTTACCGTCAGAGTTAGGATAATGCACTGTAGCATCATCGGAATGCAAAAGTGTAAGTGAATTTGAAAAGGGAAAGTGAAGATAGTGGGCATACATAGTGAGCAAGTGAGAGGAAGCGTGGAGTGTATAAACAACACACAAGATATGACAACAGACAAAGCTGGGTGGAAGCTGTTTGCCAGAAAATAAATGTCCTTAGGTGGAATGACTGACAAGTCACAAGGTCATAATATGACCAACACCTGGTCATATTAAGTACTGTACAGTAATAGATTGTTGCTCTTGATTGCTGCAGTGCTAGTGTTTATCTCTGAAACTGTATGTTGTACAGTACTTGCAAATGATATAATGAATTAACATGATATTTTGAATGTTTTTTAGTATTTAAAAGCAATAATCTTTTTTTTGTACTCTATTACTCACATTTTTTCTCCGGGCTGATGCCTCCCCACCCCATGAAAGTGGGAAACGTGGTAATGACAATGTATGCACATAATTAATGTTTATCAAGTTGTTTTGTATATCATTTAATTTTGTGTAAGAGGTTAATAAATGCACACATTTATGTCCTACTTACATAAATATTTGTATATATTTTGCAAGAAAACCACATACAATTTCTAGACAAGTATGCTTATTGTTGTATATAATATTCTATGCACTGGCAACACTCTTGACCTAGTACCGAGTTACTATATTTTCATTTTCAGTTTTTTTTTTTTTTTAATTTATACAAGAGTTCTTACATTCTTGTACAACCACTAGCACGCATTTTGGGCAAGACCTTAATCCTAATTTTCACTCACACACACACACACACGCCCGCCCCAGAAGCAGCGCATAGCAGCTGTCTAACTCCCAGGTACCTAATTTACTGCTTGGTGAACAGGTGAATCAGGGTGAAAGAAACTCGGCCCATTTGTTTCCGCCTCCGCCGGGAATAGAACCCAGACCCTTAGGACTACAAACCCCGAGTGCTGTCCACTCGGGCATCAGGCCCCCAACTATCTAAAATTGTGCAACATATATGAATGGAAAAAGCACTCCTTGTTAGCAATGTGATGAAAAGATTTACAGTAGTAATGTTAATTGGTAATATTTGTGGATGCCGCATGTCTTGAGAACAGCTATGCCTCAGATTTAGTTACTTGAATCATACTAATAGAATTTTTTTTTTACATTATAATTAAATGGATTGAAACAGTCTGTTACTACTGTTAATTTACTTGTTCCAACACACACACAGTGGGAACAAAATGGTAAATATCAGTACTGATTTGCTACAGCTGAAGTTTTATACTTCTTTCACACAATTACTCTATTTCCTTTCACTTACAAGATGTTCTCATCCATCAATTGTAAACATATAGAAGAAAGAAACAAAAATGTCTAACCTAATTTCCCTTAACTATACGATATTTTATCAAATTAAAAATAATTTAAAAATTAACTTGTTAAAAATATTCTTTCATTAACTTAAAATTTCTAAACTGCCATAAACCAAATGCTGGCTATGAAAATGCTCTAAGCTTACCTGTTGGCTTTCCTGGCAGATTCCACAGCTCCCTGGAACTCCTTTAAGTGAACAAGCGTGATTGCCAGACGAGCAAAGTTACTGACATTATTGTAGAGGAGTTTTGCTGCTTCGTACATGCCATCATCAAAGCACCGGTCGCCAATCTATGAGAGAAATATATCGGAAAATAACATGGAAAACTAATTTTCAGACATCACTAATCACATTATTTCCCTTCACAAAATTTGTTTAACATACCACAACAGAAGTACAATACAGTGCTATAGGGACTACTTGTACATTAGAAATCTCTTTTGGTTACAAATTTATTATGCAAATTAAATATTAGCTTGCCAATCTCTGCTTTAACCCACAATCCGGTAACTACTGTATTTAGCCTAATTTTTACTTCGTCTACCGGGATTGTATTTGGATGGGGTTCTGGGTCAATATGTTAATTTGGGTCTACTCCCCAAACCAAGGCCAGGCTTGACTTGTCTATGCTTGGTCCAACAGGCTGTTGCTTGGAGCGGCCCACAGGCCCACACATCCAGCCCGGTTGGTCCGTCACTTCCCGAAGAAAACTATCCAGTTTTCTTTTAAAGACGTCCACTTTTGTTCCAGTAATACTTCTTATGCTAGCTGGGAGGATGTTGAAAAACTGTGGACCTGATATTTATAGTGTTCTCTGGATGTGCCTATGGCACCTCTGCTCTTCACTAGTTCTGCTATTCTAAATTTAACCAACCACAAAAAATAAATTATCTTAAAAAATAAGATACTGGTACAACAGGGCCTCACTTCCTTCCTCTTACCTTCTGAATATCAGCATGATTAGGAGCAGCAATAAATTCCTCAAGATCGGCTAGTCTGTTGGTTTTGGAATAAGCATAACACAGCTCACTCTCCACATACGATTCCCGAGCCTTTTTACGTGCCATGACCAGGTACCGAACCAAGTCTTCCCAATGACCTATAAATGAAAATTATTATAGTTCTCACTGAAGGGCAGTGTGGAGGAGTCACCTTAACAAAGGTGAATAACAGTAAGAGATTATAGATAAATATACACCTCACCCATTTCTTTAATTACTTGCATTATAGTATTACAGATAATTAATGAAATTTTTTATTCTTAGTGAATTTAAAACTAAGCTATTAAATGCTATATACAGCACCATTGTAAAGCATTAACCTGTCCTGTGTGCAGTGTCCACAACATCAATGTATGCAGTTGGGTCATCTGCCTTGATGAATGAGTCAATTGCCTCTTTCACCAATGACTGTTGCAGCTGAGCCTTGGCCAACTGACTCCACACAGCACTTTCATTGCACCGCTCGGCAAACTCGTATGCCCGGTCCAGGTTCACTATGTGCTCAATCAGAACCTACATAAATACATCAATTAAAACTTGTGTCAATATGTTAATTTGCACATTTGCAATTTGTATATCCTATTCTTAGTTTCTGAATTTCAGCCCAAATACAAGCCATTAAAAAAAAAAAAAAAAAAAAATTCTGACCATTACTAAGGTGAAAATATTCCTAAGAAAAATGTATATATAACAATTTATGCAAACGTAGCACTTCATTTATTTTTCCAGAGGAAATTGACACAAAACCCTAATTTTAATATTCAAATGTACTTTATGAGAGATCAATTAACTTGTAAAATGGAAATAAAAATCAATATCATACCTGAATGGCAGAGGTGTTTACATCAAACTTCTTGAATATAGCAAAGGCCTCTTCATACAATTGGTTGCCAATGGCTATGTTGGCAATATCTGGTGCATCATAGTTATCAAGGCGAGTAATGTAGTCCATCACACGGGTGTGGTCTGCCTTTATAGCAGTTAAGATGAGAAGATTTTGAAGGTTCCTGTATAGATGAGGCATTTATATAATATATATATATATATATATATATATATATATATATATATATATATATATATATATATATATATATATATATATATATATATATATATATATATATATATATATATATATATATATATATATTGCATATATATATTTTGTGATCATTGTTGCATATATATATATATATATATATATATATATATATATATATATATATATATATATATATATATATATCGTACCTAGTAGCCAGAACGCACCTCTCAGCCTACTATGCAAGGCCCAATTTGCCTAATAAGCCAAGTTTTCATGAATTAATTGTTTTTCGACTACCTAACCTACCTAACCTAACCTAACTTTTTTCGGCCACCTAACCTAACCTAACCTATAAAGATAGGTTAGGTTAGGTAGGGTTGGTTAGGTTTGGTCATATATCTACGTTAATTTTAACTCCCAATAAAAAAACTGACCTCATACATAATGAAATGGGTAGCTTTATCATTTCATGAGAAAAAAATTAGAGAAAATATATTAATTCAGGAAAACTTGGCTTATTAGGCAAATCGGGCCTTGCATAGTAGGATGAGAAGTGCGTTCTGGCTACTAGGTACGACATTATATGTATATATGTATATATGTATATGTATATATATATATATATATATATATATATATATATATATATATATATATATATATATATATATATATATATATATATATGTATGTATATATTTACTGGAGCATATAAGACATCACATCATGTAACACTTTGGTGGTCCAGCCTCTCTGCACTTCCAACCGCTAATGTCCGGACCACTTAATGCTGCGACAATTGTTTACAATCATTTTACCTTTTCTAAATTATATGTTGTGTAGCTATAAATTTAGTGACAATTGATAAATTCTCCAGAAAATAGAATAAAAAAAAGTTTATTTATAAAAGATTATTCTCCTCTCCACCCATTCTTGACAAATACAGCAGGTTCAGTGGGTCCGACTCAGTGATGCTTAAAACGTTTACAATCATTCTACGTTTGCCAAGTTATTTGTTGGGATATGACTATAAATTTTAGTTCAAAATGTTTACAAAAGAATTCTCTAGATAACTGATGAAAAACAAAAGTGTAATAATAGATTATGAGACGTTTTATCGTCACTGGAATGCAGAAGTGTTAAATGTATTCTGCACGTTCCATTAAAAAATAATACCAACTGTATAATTTATAAATTTACCTGTGATCACTGAATGCAGAATTGTCAAGCACAATTTTTTCCAAGAGTTCAATAAGTTCATTGGGCAAATCAGCAGTCATGAAAGCTTTCACAGTAACAGAGATATCCTCGGGGTCTTGGGTCTCTGACAATGCTGTCTGCACAACCTGAAATAATATTGAAAATCAAAGAACATCTTCACAGAACTTACACAGAACTTGCATTCATTAATTTTTTAGATAAACATTTTCCATTCAACTAACCAATGTCACTAACAAAATGCAAAGTAATGTTTTGAAAAACAACAACAATCATCTTTGGACAAATCCTGATTTATTTTCACTATTATTTAACCAGTATTAAACTTATTACTAAACTCAATGTAACTAGCAACACACCTGGTCAATAAGTTGTCTCCTGTACTGATTGGTCTCTTGTAGAACCTCAGCCCAGAGTTCAGGGTCCCGTCGCCTCACAAGGTATCTAGCTTCAGACTTGAAGAGAGAGTTCTCGTTGCAAACATTAATCAGTTCTCTGTCACATTGACCACGTTCGTATGCAATACATGCAAGGTGCGGGTCTCGCTTTTCACAGTACTTTCCTGGAGGGGGAAAAAAAAAACCTGCTAAAACAACAAAAATCTTGCCAACCTTTGTTAACCCAAGTGAGGAAACAAATTTTTTCTATTGTAAACACTGTGTTTAGAAGCAAACCGATTGGAAGTCCAATCGGGGGTTCATGCATGGACCACATGCACTATGGGTGTGGTATATCAGTTCTACCTGCAATGCTTCTCTTCAAATACACAAAGAAATCACATTAACGTTAGATAAAAATTGATACAACACATTAATGCGATATTTTTTGTACACTATTGTGATTTCAGTGTGCATCATGTAGCCTATTTATTATAAATTTTTGTAGCAGTTTTATTACACATTTTTAAATATTAAAAGTACAGTATAGGAATAATATGGACAAAATATGAACTTACCAACAACTTTGCTGTCATAGTTTTGGTTCTCCCTTAAGAATCTCTCGGGGTTATTGTTGGAGTCTATGTAAATTTTGGCAATGGCATCATGAGTGGCCGACTCAGAGACTCCTTCATGAATACGTGACTCCAGCCAAGTTAGCAGCAGCTTCAGGCGGTTTCTTTTCTCAACCTGAATGGTTTAAACGGCAATAGGATTGTCAAATTATGTGGCATTGAAAGGATTACAAAATTTTATTAATCGGAAATAAATTCATCAATTTGGTTATAAAAAAATGCACTGAAATTTCTAATTGTGCTTCAAGGTATTCCATTTTACAGAATACAAGTAAAAAATTTACCTAGTTAAAATTCCTACCACTGGAGGCTTTGTTTGATTTACAATAAATAAGGCAATAAAAAAAATTAATTTCTTTAAAATATAATTTGGAATTTTCAAATAACTGCAGCCCACAATAAAGTATCTAAGCCATTTAAAATAAAACAAGAAACCAATTTATCGATCATCAGTTCGTTTCAAGTGTTCCAGTGTATTATTTTTAATACGAGATTAATGCTTTAACAAATGCCATCATTACCATATTTCCCAGCTTACATGGGGCTGGGGGGGGGGGGGGGGGGAGAAGGCATCAGCCCACAAAAATTACTAGTAATATAGCCCAGAGCTGATTCATATTAAACATATAAAATAAGGTATCTATTAATTTTATCATTCACAATATATATCTCCAAGGAGGGAGGGGGGGGGGGGGGGGGGAACAAGAGAGAAGATAAAAACAAAAAATTACTACCCACTCTAGCAGTCACATGCTTCAAAAGACCAGGATTACAGCATTCCTCATGAATTTTCACATCGCTTACATACAAATACATTTACTTTCTTCTTGAAAACTGTTGCCACCCAACATTGTCGCTTACCATTTCCTGTGTGATGTGCGCACACCATGTCCACCACCTGCATCCCAGCCTTCCTCTTCTATCACTCAAATTGACAAGCACACACTTTACCAGCCTATCATATTCCAAGTGTTTAAACATACTATTTTGATATGCTTTCCTCAATCACAAGGTTCATCATCATTTGCAATCTACACCTCTTCAGGACATTTTCACTCCTTATCCTATAGTATTCCAACACCACAAATGAGTCTCAGATTGTCTTTCTACTGCTCATAATGCTTCAGACCTCATCTTCATGCTGTGCCATCTCATAACCACACACAACAATTGCCACTAACACTCCTCCATTTGCCCATTTATCTTATCTGGCCAATCCCTAATCTGCACTGGAAATGGGAAATGAGAACCACGAAGGTCAACACACACAAACTTACCTCTTCCACCAACTCGTCTGTTGAGAACTGTCCACGAACAACCATAATCAATTGTTTTATTACATCCTCGGCACAATCAACGTCCAGCAGCCCTCCAACGACGACAGGTAGACGTGAAGGATTCACCTATACATACACAAAGATATCTTTGTAAAAATAAGGCCAAGCAAATATCATAGATTTAATTTCTTGTATAATACAGCCTCACTAAACTATAATAGTATACACACAAGCGCCAACACAAATAATGTTGCTACATTTTCTAAAAATTATAGACATTACTTTCACTCACTACTGGAAATGTCATGACTAAGAACAGCCAACCTTCTGAACATATATTTCTATGTATTTCTGTAGGTTATTGCGGTAGAGGTAGAGCACCAGGTCGTGGACGAAGTCAAAGCGATCACAAACGATGATGAGTGGTAACTGATCAGTTAGCTTTGCCTCCTTCAAGAAGTTCTTCACGCGTTCAGGATTATAGCAGTTGGACTCGCGGCATATTCTCTCAACCTGAGGGAAAACGTGCACTTTGATAAAAGTTTTATAATGCTAATTATGAAACTGTATTTTGTTTTTAGAAGCAACATTTTTCAAAATTAGTCAATGAGTTTCAATCATAACTAACTTAAAGCAGAGAACTCAATTTTATAGGCCAAGAATCCAAGGTTACTTATGTTCGAGTTATTTATGATTTAAATTGTTACATCTCAAGTTAAATATTTAAATTTGATTAGCTTTAAAATAACCTATCCACAATTTAACCAAGCTCTCAGTTTTCATTAACAACTACAATACAAGTGAATGCCCAATATACCCCTACACTGATGTTATTAATTCTTTATATTACTCACCTTTTTTTCTCTGGGGTGAAGCCTCTCCACCCCAATAAAGTGTGAAAAGTGGTAATGATGATATATATGAAAGAATATATGCATTTTACAAGACCATACTAATTTCATTCAACAATTTAAAACTATAAAACTTTCACCATTCCCCCTACATTTCAAGTTCAACACTGCCAAGAGCCGAGTTGAAAGCCTACAAAAGTTTTTATTAGTTCTTAGTAGCATTATCATCCTTCAATTTCCATATATCACATCATTCTAGATCTAAAGCACTTCTTATCTGAATGCCGACTTGCATGAAGTGAGACCACTGCTCTGCTGGCCAGCCCAAGTGCTTGGGCACAGCGAGAGGATGTATATCATGTGTAGGGTTTTGGTAGTGTAGATTAAATATCCAAGTTTTTTACCAGAAAGAAAAGCCTTAAGCATACATCAACTTACTGAAATGTTCCTTTTGCTTCTGCTAGTGTATAAAACTGTGAAAGCAGATTGCCTAATAAGAGAATTTTGTGAATTTTTTGCTATTGTGTTAGAGACTAGAGTTGATCAGGATGAGTCAGGACTAATTGTGCTGAAGGCAGATTTTAGAAACATTTAATACTTATTTGCATACTGATAAGTATTTTTAAGTATTGTACAATATTAAGACTGGGTTTACATTGATTTATCATAAGGGAAGCCAGTATATGAGAATTACAGTAGTTCTCTCTCATAACAGGAAAAGCATGGAAAGAATTCGTCTGTGGGGTGACTAAGGACCTGGCTGACCAAAGCACTGAATTTGCTTCACCCATAGTTCATGCCAACAAGGTCATACTAGTAGCTTTTCTATTTGATTGGTAAAACTTTAAACTGGAAGCACTTTAAAGGAATGAACATGCCAATTATGCCAATGAATATGCCAATTTTGCTTATGTATAGGTATTTTTTAACTTTACAATGTCTGTCCGTTCATTATGTGTACGTTTGTTAGATTTGTACGAGATTTTAACAATTCTTTATTAAAAAAGTTAATAAAATATCTCTACCAAAAGATCATACTAAAATTGTCTATTACAGACTAAAGCTCACCTCTTTAATTTGGCCAGTTTTACAAGCTGCCTGGATGTACTTGAAATGAACTTCAGATTCTTGTGAGAAGTTGACAATCGATCCAAGAAAATAGAAGAGGCCTTCAAATGACTTGAAAGACTCGAACAGATCAATCAGTGCATTGGTCGTTAGTTGCTCATGGTATTTGGTAGCAATCTGTAATAATAATTTACAAATTTCTAAATCACACACAATTACATTGAATACCATAAAATATGCTATTTAAATTTTTTCCATAAGACAAATATTTTGATGTAAAACAAGACAAAGCTTAATTACACACCTGAACCACGATTTGGAGATTCTGGCGGAGATTGGCTGTAAGCATCGCCTTCAAGCACTCTAAAGAATCCTCAACAGATAAAGAGCCAAAATAGTTAACAAGCCACTCTGGGTTCAGCAACTGTGTGTGCACAACTGCTCTCTTAATATCGTACATGTCTGTGTAGTGTTCCAAGGCACGCTGAAGCAATCCTGCCTTCTCACACAGTTGAGCAATGTGTGCACGATCGTAATGGGTGAACATCTGGTTACCGAGAATTGCATCTGCTACTTGCGGGGCAGACATCAAGTTCATTTCCAAGAGGCGAGTCTGAAGTGGCCCTTCTGTGGGACGATTATTCTTCAGAGCATCAAGCAAGAACGCTGTACACTGCTGAATTAAATTTGATTCCAAAAAAATATCCACAATTTGGTTGACATCAGCCATGGGTTCATCATCCTGTACTAACATCTGAGCAAATGCAAGACCTTGATCCGGATTAACACGCATCACATTTCTTAACAAGAATACATAGTCTGGAGTGTATCCAACTTTCTTAGCATAAAGTACAATCTTCTGGAACTGGCCAGTCTCAGCAAAGCACTGAATCACTTTGTTTGGTACATTTGCTCTCAGGTACACAGAAAGTGCTAATGTGGGATCAGCCTGCTTCACAAGATCACCTAATTCTTCTGAACATTCTAACTTATCTTCTTTTAGCCATTTTTCAAGTAAATTCTTGCGCCCTTGGGCCAAAACTGGTCTACACAATTCTAAGGATTCAAACTTGTTCAAGTGAGACTGATCGAGGAGAATTCCGAAGTACTGAAGAAGAGGCGAAGTCTGGCCAGGCTGAGCTGGCACTTGTTGGAACCTCTGGATAGTTTGGGGGGTACGGAGGACACCTTTGGGTGCATTAGCAGCTACCTTGGCTGCTTCGCTGTATTGTCCATTCTGAAGGAAATGTTAAAGTGAAAATAAGAGCATTTGCAAATAATTTGCTTTTAACAAATCCTTTTCATAAAGAAAAGGCTGAAACCATTTTTTGCCCTAAATACCAAATTCAACAATGTGTCCCCCAACACGAAGTCAAAACTATTGAATATTTTAATACTGTAAATGTAGTTGTTAAAATTACAGTCGACTCCCAGTTTATGCAGGAAGTAGCTTGCTCAAAGAGAATAACCAACATTCTTTAAAAATGTTGTTAATGTTTTATAACCTAATTAAAACTAAGGAAATAGGGCAATATATTCACATTTAGAACACTTTCAAAACTTCCACCCAGACAGACTCGTCACCCATGAATGGCATATACAGTACACAAATTATAAAAAATCTGAACATTAAGTAACAAATTACTTGTGAAATGGTATGATTTTTATCCAATTATGGTATAATCATGTAGCAGTGTACATCAACTATTACCACTTGCGTGCTTGAGAAAGGTGACTTGGGTTTTTAGGCTATGTATACTAGCCTACAAATGTGACTCTTTACTACACTACACACAGAAATCACAATAACGTGATGCATCAAATGAACAAATCCACAAGGGCCGTGACGAGGTTTTGAACCTACGTCCGAGAGCATCCCAGACACTGCCTTAATCAACCGAGTCGATTAGGGCAGCGTCTGGGATACTCTCGGACGTAGGTTCGAATCCTCGTTACGGCCCTTGTGGATTTGTTCTCGTGACTATCTTTTTATGGGATGAACAGGAACAAGGCATTAGGCCCACAAGTAACAGGACACTGGCTTTATATATATACAGGTAATGAATATATACATATAATTTGAAACTTATCATGTTGTAATAAAAGTATCTGCAACTTCCGGCAACCAGGAGGCCTGGTCGACGACCGGGCCGCGGGGACGCTAAGCCCCGGAAGCACCTCAAGGTAACCTCAAGGTAAGGTAACTTTGATTAAATAATCAAAGTGAAGTCATATCAAGTTAATACTGGAATAGTGACTACCAAGCTCAAATAAAGCACTATTTTCAATCTTAAACTACAGATTATGATAATCATTTAAGTATTTAATAGCTTCAGCTAAACTTTTAACTATAATTATGAAGTCAAAGCTTACCTAAACTTAACATAGATGTGACCACAGTTTTTGTGTATCTATGTTATTTGTCGTTTGTAGAGATGCATAGACGCACAAATGACATTTGTATGCATAATATGTTAGTCATCTTTTAAATTAATTAAAGTACAGTACAATGTAATCTCTCCCTCCTAAAATGAACAAATTTGTACTGAACCTTCTATTGCAATCAAAGCCAAGTACATATATTACAAATGCCAAAATTACTGAAGCATTGTAAGTTCGTAGTGCATAACCGAAACCTTCAAGACATTTTGGTGCACTGTAGAGGTCATCACTTGACATTGTCTTATTACTCACCTGGAAAAGTGTGTTAAACTTGCGCACAAACAGATCTTCCGCTCCAGCAAGGTTGTTCCTTGTTGCAATTCTAAGTGCCAAGTCAGGGTTTTGAAGCACATTATTGATGTAAGGGATGATGTTCTCTTCATCAACGCTCACACTTAATACCTGCAATATACAATCCCAATAGAAAAATAAATAAAAAATCTGAAAAAGCTATTCACATAAAAATTTGTTTCCCATTCTGTTATCTTTCTTACCAAAATTGCCACTTCCACATTACACAATTCAAATCAATCCCATTCCAGAATTATTTAAGAATAGAAATTGCTTCAATGCAAAGTGTAAGAAAAGTTCATGTATGATCCTTGGAACACTAACCTACTTGGGAACGTACAACAAGGAGGATGGTAATGAATATTAAGCAAATATTAAGCAAATACTGTACAGTTGTATAATAACTGATTACAAGGTTTATATTTTGAATATCCAATAAGTGGACTTATTGAAAAAAGGGCATACAAGTATGTGATCGGTTTTGCTATTGTGAGGAGAGAGTATGATAAAATACAAGAAAAATTCATGAAGATTTATTAACAACGCTGCAAAGGCCAAAATGTAGAACTGCAACTTTTATACTGTACTGGTAAAGTAAAATCAGGAATGAAAAGTTGTGAAACGATTGCCAGAAAGCACACGAGTAGTGATACTGTGACAGATGATTACCAGACCTGGAATGGTACCTAAATATAAAATTAAGTGTAAATGTATCAAGTGCAATAGCCAAAAAATATTAGTCTATGACAGGTAGTAGGCAAAGTGTTAGGGTACAAATTATTACAGTACATAAATGACATTTTAGATCAGTAATACATAATGTGGGGTTTAATAGTCAATATGCCCCAGGCATTTGTATTTCACCAACTATTGTAAATGTCACGTAGGAAAGACTGTGAATGTATGTGCATGCGTGCGTGCGTGTAGTGAAAACATGTGACAATAGAAATTAATGTTTGCAAAGGAACAAGCCTGTATGGAGTTGGTAGAATGTTATTTAATGCTAAAAATTTCTTTGATTTAGGAAGCAGAACATAATTAAAGATTTAGGAAGCAGAACATAATTAAAAATAAAGTCTTGAGTTATTGGTTTGGTATTTTTGCAAAAGATGTCAGGGTTACATAATGTCCCATTGTTGTTCAATGCATACAAGACTGTAGTCATGAACATGGTCAAGCTATAAATACAAGAGAAGGGAGTGAATTTTATCAATGGGAATAAATGGAGAAGTGTTTACCCTTGTTAATGGTATTGTGACTGGTGTGGTGAAACCATGAAAAAATTAAGCTAAGTGTTGAAAAGGACAAATCAAGAAGCCTTTGTGGTGGTAGAAAGATTAGAGTAAGGCATTCAAAGGTCATGAGTTGAAAAGACGTGGGGAAGAAATCAGTTATAAGAATGAGTCAAGTACTATATACTGATATTGTTTGGCAAGTCACTGAATAAGTGATTATGAGCATAGTATTCAAGTTTGAGTAAATTACATTTTTTCAATAGCTAGCAGTAAGCACTTTAAAAACTTTTTTTTATGAAGCACTGGCATTCCACTGTGAATGCACTGATGAAGTACAATGGAACTGGATCTAAATGATACTGCAATATATTATACAGTATATGACAAATGGAGGGAGTATTTTTATTCATCTTTTTCCAAAGTTCAGGCATCTGCTATGCAGGCACTGAAGTTATTTATAGGGACATTACATAAAGTAGTAATAAAAGTTAAATAATGGCAAGAAAATCTGAATGGCAAAATTTATGAAGTAAATTATATAAAATTTTGTTTGCAATGTAAATATATAGAAAAAAAAAAAAACCGACTCACCTGTCCCTTACGGTTGACGCCAATGATGCCACTTGAGGGTTCGTGAGGCGCCGTGACAAAGATGGTATCTCCACTGATGCGGTTCATGAAAATACATGTTCCACTCTCAATGTCATAAAGGTGCACATAACCATACTTTGTGATCAAATAGATGACATCATGCTTCGAACTAACCTGAAAATCAAGGTAAGCTGCTACTTATCATAGAAATATGAATCCAAATTACTTTACATTTTGTTAAATATGGAGAGCTTCCAGACTCTTTCATCATAAGTTGTAACCAAGACTTGATCACAGCAGTTAAGAGGGAGATAAGGTAATTATCAGGAGAAAGCACTAAGGCATTACAACAATACAGAGTTAAGAGTGATTGTTAAATATATTTGTACAAGACACCTCACAAAGCAACCTGTCCTATCACATAATATGTTGCATTTTTTATGGTGTCAACCAATCCATTAAAATGTGACTCATTAGTAAAAATTAATGCACCATAATATTGACATTTTCTATGCACCGGCTACAATAGGTTAGACGAGCGCATTGCTTGGATTCATAAGCTCCTGGTTGGCCAAAACAGTTACAGTTTTAACAGTGGCAAACCGAGAATGGGCTGCACAAAAGAGCACTATATACCTAGTCGCATTAAGCTAAAGGAAACTACAGTAAGTTAGTGCATAGTGATGCTTGATCTCTGCAGTGTGTTTTGGGTTGAGATGACCACTTAATTTGTTCTAGATTGTGATGAAATGGGAGAACAAGACCTTTTTGTGGATATGCAAGACTTTCAGCATGCCCCAATTGGATCTGTTTACATGGAACCACAAGTTATCCATGTATGCAAGTTCACTCCATAATTTAAGCACTTTTGTACTGGACAATCCATGATTTGATTCACTCCCCTATGACTAGTTAAATCTTTGTTCCTGGTCCTGTTCTACAGGACCAACCCATCTCCCTTCACTACCCTTCCCCACACAATTGCCCAACAGTATTACACAAGGCTTACTACAAATCTTTGTATAGAATCTAAGCAAATTATTTTTATCTTAACAGAGCAGGAGGGACTCGTTCAACATCTTAGTACCCCATATCATCATCAATATGAGGTAGCTGGCAGGCACTACATAGGCAGTATATACACAACACCATTGCTTCCTAAAGAGCTGTCCTGACACCACTATGACCTCTCGGCTTTATGGTGTAGATCTTTCTAGTTCCCCCTATTTTCTTCTTGAGGTTATCTTGAGATGATTTCGGGGCTTTTAACACTTTCGCGCTTTAGATTAGAGATAACTCGTCGCCGTTTTTTCTTACGATTCCGCATAACAGCCTACTTTTCTCGTCCATCGAAAAAATATTTCTATAAATTCCATTTTTTAACCGAAATGGATGGGGATACTCTCAGATTATATACGTTTTGTAGAGAATTTATTTGCAAATTTTTTGGTACCAGAATGAATATTATATCACATAAACTTCTATGAGTAAAAAAAAAAATACACAAAGTATGTTTGGGGGTGTGGCGAGCGTGTGGCAGTGGGTTCCCGTTAGCCGTTGATATATCCAACACGTGGAAAATATTTGTATGTGTTATGTATATGTCTGTGTAGGGAATTTTATTGCGATCACTGTCATACAAATTATAAAATGTTTCAACAAGTATAAACATGACAAACATCAAACGAACGAAAACAATGCGTTCTTTTCTGCTGTGAACGCATACTGAGCGACGTGGTTCTATATTTGGCGCTTCTCTTACACATGCTTTGTACAAATGTTATACATTTCATCTTATAGAAAATTTTATTGCGAACACATTGGTATAAAAAAGAAATACGTACATAGAAAAGTAGGGTCAGGAAACGTATAAACTTTCCAAGCATGATTTCCCCCCTGTGTTTTCGCCAGTGTGCTCGCGGCTAACTACTCTCCACTTCACACACTCTTGCGGGTGGGCAATTACCTATATTAAACATTCATATGCATATGTCAGTGTAGAGAATTTTATTGTGATTCCAATGATACCAAAATTAGCGATGTAGGACAACTGTAGGCTTCGCAACCATTAAGAGAGTGGAAACATTTTGTTGCTGTTTGGCGCTCTCGGCGAGTGATCTGCATAGTTTTTTATTTGGTGTTGATACTCCTTATGCTTGGGCGGCATTTTATAGGTATGCTCTTATAGACAATTTCATTGCGAACACAGTGATACCAAATTTAAATACGTGCGCCTTCAATTATTGTCAGGACAGTCAAAAGAGTGTACACTTTTTCGGTCTTACCGCGTAGGCGCGCGAAGTGCCGAAAGCATCTGGGGTATTGTTTTTTTTGAGCGCCGAGAGCGCGAAAGTGTTAAGTGTCCCCGCGGCCCGGTCCTCGACCAGGCCTCCACCCCCAGGAAGCAGCCCGTGACAGCTGACTAACACCCAGGTACCTATTTTATTGCTAGGCAACAGGGGCATAGGGTGAAAGAAACTCTGCCCATTGTTTCTCGCCGGCGCCAGGGATCAAACCCGGGACCACAGGATCACAAGTCTAGCGTGCTGTCCGCTCGGCCGACCGGCTCCCTCAAATAATTAGAAATGCATTTTTTTAGCATTTGCCATTCCATGTGCTATTAGAATTTGATTGCCCTCAAATTGATGATGTAGGTTTTATTCAAATAGATAACGGGTATCATCATTTGAAGACTATGTTCAAGGCTTTATTATTACATACATTTTTTTTTACCCTAGTGACAGGTTACTGGGTATGAGCCCACTGATTTAGTCTGGCATTCTGATTTTATTTCCTTTGGCCAAAGGAATGTTTTCTCTAAGCAAATCCCTCATTCTTAGCTAGGAATGGAGTTTTAGTGCTTACTTATCAGTGACTATGTTGGACTAAGATTCACCTTTTGTGCCCCCCCCCCACTCCTAGCAATTTATATCTGATACACTGATTACTTCTCAACATTAATGTTCTCACCATATTAGTGCAAGCTTAGTTTATTCAACCATCAGTCAATCTACCTAGCAGTTCTCCCAATTCCTATGGCTGTGATCAAGCTAAATCAGCAATGCCACAAGCTTATCCCCATGCTCATGATCTACAAAAGTTAGCCACTCAAAGTTCTTCTCCACCAAGTCTCCTGCTGACTTCAAGACTTTGGTTGTTTTAGATATCAACCAGTACATACACAGTATGGTTTGACATCCAGTACAGTATTCTCACTTCAAAGAAAAGTATGTTGAACAAGTACCATAAGAATTGTGCAAATGCCGATACAAAACGAATTATTATAACATTCACTATAACTTAGTGAACATAATTCGTAATAAGGAATTAAATAAATTGTATTTAAATAAAGTTTATCAGTAAATCGTGTTAATTTTGTTTATGATCTTAAGTGCATGTGTAGAAATTTGATGCAATTTTAACTATTTAATAATCATTTAAACAAATTATCCATCATTAAAAATTCCCCAAATGGTTGCAAGGGAACTATACCCAACTGAAAACAAAGCTCTGCATTTATGACTGCAAGAAATTCAAGCTTCTGGCCAATCCAAAGGTTTATAAATGTATCATTCACTAACAAAACGGTGGGTGTGTAAGGGGTTAAGTTACATAATAAGGTGAACTATTATTTAGTTCTAAATAAACTAAATAGTTCCTAATGTGAACTAAATATTCTAACCTTTTTCACAACATGAAAAATTCTAAATTGCATCAATTCTTCTCTTGCTCTATTATCCATGTGCTCTCAACAATAGATGATATGAATAAAAATTTATTTACTCATTTCACAAAAGGATATTCAGCATATAAATTTTGTATCAAAAGTCAATACATGGGACACATGCAATATGTACTGACCTGCATAGCCACAGGAAAGTCATTCTGTGCCTCAGGTGGGAAAAACACATCTACGTTCTTTTTTGTAAAAGGCTGGTTGCCAGCTGCAGGTTGCCCAACTTCAATAATGTGTAACTTGCCACCTTGAGCATTGCGCACAGCAAAGCAGAATAGGGTCGAGTGTTCCGCATTACCTTCCATCTGTTAAAAGGAGAATTATTAGCTTGCAAAATTAAATTCTACATTAAATCTAAATATTCATTATTATTAATCTATATAATGTGCTATTTGACATGTACAGCGGACTTAAGACTAAACCCAGAATAAAATACCCCCACCGTTACTTTTTTGTTTACCTTAAATGATGTAAAACCTGCAGCATGACCCTCAATAGGCTGGCTAGCTTTCCTGTCTATACTATACAGCTGCATGAATCCCACTACACGATTTTGCTGTGCAGAGATACCAATAAGTAACAGCCAGTTCTGTTTAGAATCTGCACGATAGTTTATAATTTGGCAACCATTTAGACTGCTATGACGATCAAACATCTTCTGTGGCTGAGCATCTCCTGAAAAAGAATATGGCATAGTAAAACACTTGGGCGCATCATGATGCTTCAAGATAACAAAATGTCCCCACTGTAAAGTTAATGAAGACCTTAAATATTTACATAGGGCTGTATTCACACAATATGCAGGTGAATGGTAATTTCACTAATACTATTTTTTGCACACCTTAAAAAAACATGACAAAAAAATCAAGTTTACAAAAATATGCAACACCTTAATATAAAAATTCAAAATTAATAAACACCTGTTAGAATAGCTTACCATCCATACTCCAGTGGTAGACAGCTGTCTCAGTCACGAGTGCCAGCTTATTGGTGGAGATCCATTTCCAGAACTGTATTTCTGTATCCATTGTATGAGCTGCAAATATGAAACCAAGTGGTAATTGCTGATCTGAAGTTTAATAACAATACCACTAAGTAGCAAGAAAAAGTTAACTTTCTAAACTTGAAATATTATAGCACTATCAACCAAATGAGCATAAATACTGTGCTAAAAAATTCCTATTTAAGCAACAGTCAACTGTTCAACAAACATTAGGCCAGTTCATTACCTTTGATTTTGGTTTTCATTTCAATATTGAATATCTGCAGTGTCTTCTGAGCTGGAATGAAAAAAAAAACATTCAATTTTAATCTATGTATAAATAGATTATAGTATCAAACTAAAGTACCCAATCCTCAACTTGTGTGATCAGCTGTAGAACTTTTCTCCAGATATTAAAAAACAATTTTATCACCTTAAAAATTTACTAAGCCCTCAAAACATTTAAAGAAATGTTCATTATCATTTGGTCATCAAAAGCCATAACATGAAAAAAATTAGCACTGGGCTTAGCAAGTGCACACAAGTTGGAACTTATAAAGGAAAAACCAGGACAATCAATTTTGTAGCAGAGTAGAGTTATCACTGGCAGAAAAGAAAGGCAAACCTCTCTATCCCTTTATCCCACAGCAATGCTTTCGTTAATACTTTTCCATGAACATTCTAATGAATAAAATGCACCATCTCATCTCAGAATTTCCGAAAATCACCACCTTAAGCATTCGATTTCTACTGTACTGTACTTTCATGACCAAACTCCTGAAATGCATAAACAGTGCTGGCAGAGGTTATCAATGCACCAAGAGGTTATCTTGGTTATCAAGAGGCCCGGAACGTTTACGGTCAGAGGCTAGGAGGCTAATGTGTCGATAACAATGGGCCATGCCATCACAATTTTATTTCTTGGTTGGAATCAATACTTTGTAATGTATTTAATAATAATTTACTATTATTTAGACCCCTTTTACTGCAATCAACAGTATTGATTACTTCACAGGAAGTCATTCCATGTAGTAAGTGAATGTTGCCAAATGAAACCATAAACGTTTCAACATCCTAAAATGTTGAATCCAAACATCTTAAGCTCTTAATCCATCGGGAAAGAAAATAGCAAAAGAAAAATCCTTTAGATTCAGTGTCAATATCTTTTTATCACATGTCTGGATGTGTCGGGACAGCTCCAGTTATTTTACAAGAGAAACACAGGTACAGTATAGTGATTTTTATCATCATTCATTCAATCATTGCGTGCTCTGGCTCTGGTCCCCGGTAGGCCTAGAACTCCGACTGACTGTTGCCACAGTCTAATATATACACATAAGCCCGGTATAGCTCCGTTGAGCCGAAGGGGTTCTCCACAGAAATAGTTTTTACAGGCAATATATAAACCAAAGTTATTTGAGTCCTAAATAGCCTCAAACTGGAATACTTACCTTTAAGAGCAATAACTTTAGATGCTGGATTCATGATTGCGGAATCTCCCGAGATGGGACGTCTGATGGGGTTGGTTGGATCAGCCATGTCAATAATCACTACCTGTGCGGTTTCTCCGACTTTCTCTCTGACACAGATGAACTTGTCAGATTCCATGGTGAGGGTATTAAACCCAATGTTGGATGCTTGAATCCCCACATTGGTGAGCTGAAATAGTTAAGCTTTAATTAGAATACCAGAAAATAAAGTAAGAACCACTTAGTCACACAGTATAATATAAAATTAAGTTAAAAGCAGCTGCACAGACTCTTAGCGTACTTCTAACATTGATCTTTAACAAGTCACTTACAAAGACCAAATTGCACAGCTGCTGGAAGAAGGCAAATGTGGTATGTACAAATTTACAGGAAAGATGAGAAAAAACTGCAGTGCTTACATAATTCTTGTGCACATGTTTTACACAATCATAAAGTTGAGGAAATGGCTGCCTTTATATCAAATATAGCATCAATTATAAATTGTGTGTTATATTGATGGTTCTAGTAATGATAGTACAATACTGTAATTGTTAAGCATCAGACCCATCATACTCGGAAAACACATTGCAATTCTTTGAATGATTGTCAAGCCGGTGATCAAAATTTATATAGTACTGGACTGTATAATACGTATTCATGAAATGTGCCCTGTGAGTTTTCTGACCTGAAACCAGCTATTGCTCCCAATATAGTGTCACCAAGAACCGTGATTACTGCCCCATAATAAATACAGTGCTTTAAACTGAACAACTAATCAAGTATAACAACATATGATGCAAATAATAAATTAAGTCTACCATGGAAATGATACTCCACACAAGGAAGAAATTAAATGTGATAATCAAATCCGTGCATGTGATTAAATAATGTAAACAAACCTATGAACAATTAATAGTTACAGTACAGAACTAATATTTGTAGTTGCAGTTGAAAATTAATAATTACTTAGAATTTGTTTTTAAATATTCTTATTACAGTCCCAGCAAAATAAAAACAGAATAGTAAAGCAATCTCTCAAGATGGAGAATGCATATTAAAAATTTGTTTTGGTAACTTGAGGCTTTTAATGTGTGTAGTCGAGCAGTATACTGTAGTTCTAATGGTCCATGCCTTCTATTTCAGATATTTTGCCACCCTGGAGAGAGGGGGAAGGAGGATATAGAACAGTAATAGCAGTAGCTATCAATAAGTCTCAGGAGACCATGGAGTTGCGCTCTGGTTATTGGTCTGGAGTGGCCAACAACAGCAGTACAGCATTCTATGCAAAATACCACAAGTAGTTATTGGAGTGTCTAGGTTCCCTTGTTTTGACGAGTCTCAAACTTTGCCTTATTTTCCAGGCTGATATGATCTCTAAATGTTAGATTATTATTAGCCATTATTCCTAGCTACTATACATAATTGCATACTATGAGAAGAGCTGGTTGTCTTTTAAACAGTATCCTGCCATTAAATCATTTTGCAAGTTACCAAAAATCTAGGAGTAAATTATTTGTAACCATAGGCAAATGCAGCCAAACAGGAAAACAAACTACCTGGTTGCAATAACCGAGGTTCATATTGATTAACAGTACTATAGATTGTAAAAGTACAGTATCTCCAGTTTAATAATGCAAGCCTGTTTAGTCAATTTACAAAAAGCACATGTTCCCAACGGAACATGTACTGTACAGAATTTTAGTTCCCAAGTCCAGTACTGTACAGAATTTTAGGTTTAGTTTTTTTGGATAGTTTTATTTTCTCCTGATAGTTCCCTCCCTCCCAACTGAAGAAAAAATAAAACTAGCCAAAAAACTAAACCTAAAATTCTGTACAGTACTGGACTTTGTTTTATAACTCTCAACAAATTACTTTATCCCATGATCTATTATGGGGTTGTCTCAGCAGACATTTTACCAGGAGGGTCCATCACTACAAATATTTTACCATGTTAAGCTCTATAAACTCTCATATTATTCCACTCATTCCATCCAAAATAATGGCCACCTGCCTCTACCCCTTGACCCCCTAATTACAGCATTCATGTTAAACTGTTCTCTGGCATTCTACTGACATGTCCATACCAACTGAAGGTAATGTACATTGACCACTCCTCTACACATTTCATTCCCTCACCCATTTGACTCTGATCACATCTTATTCTCTTCACTCTTGTTTTTGTGAGCACATGCCCCCTTTCCATGCCTAAGTTTTACTTCCATATATCAGGGATAATCCTTCAGTTCTTTCTCTACTCATTCTATCATTTATCATCTCTACTATTCATTACTCTAATACCACCTTCCACACTATAAATTTTTCCTAGCTTGTGAAATGTTCTAAATTGTGAAATTTCCTAACTATTCAAAACTTACTACCCTTTAATATGTTCCCCAGTTTTATCAAAGTTCAAACCAGAGAACACTGTCTTGCAACCACAAAGACCAAAATCCATGCCATACCATTCCCTTCTCTCATACTCCATAACCTTACTTTATCCTATAATGACCTTTAACTTACTAGTTCTCTTGCACATACTTAACATCTAACCTTAATGCTCAGTGGCTCCTGAGCCAACAAACATTGGGGTACCTGATGGCAGTGTCAGGACTGCCCTAAATTTAGGTGTTCACACACCCACGGGGGTGAACACCCAAAAACCGAGAATGTTGTTCTAGGTGTTACTGAAGAGTATTGAAGGAGAATATTACATGCATGATTATAGTGGCAAAAGTCCTTTACAAATGGGAGATATGATACTCCATCTGGATACCGGTACAGTACTAGGATGTCCAGACGTGCCGTGCACTGTACTGTATCACCGGCCACTTTCTTTCTCTGAACGTTGTCATGTAATATTACATGTATAGCATACATTCAAGTATCGCTGCATCAAACAGTTTCCTATCTTGAGTCTTAAGTTTCCAAAATTTTATAATAAAATAATTTGGCTATTATGCCCAATAATAACTTAAAGTATCAAATAACCAGAGATGGTATCCTACTACAGTATACTTTATAAAGATTTTGGGACTCATTAATAAACTCTCTCCCATTAAATAGACATTTAAAAATTCTCACAGAATGCTTCATGACAAATCACAAGTTATGCTTTTTTGGCATCAAAAGGCAGCATCCAACATTTTTCCCTTTGGAATGTAAAAAAAATGAATTTAGAAGTACTGTTCTAAACTTTGAAGTTTGTTCTAAACTTTCACTAAGAAATGTGAAAGGACTGTGCAAGTATTTCAATCAAAATGCCTGAAAATTCCAAAATTCTAATACTGTACTTGTTTTCATGTCAGTAATGTTTACCATAGGTTTAACTTTTTTATTAAAGAATTACAGTATTGCACTGTACATTCAGCATACTTGTATGCAGTATCTTACTCATTTAGTATAAAATATATATTTAAGACCACAAGAATGAAGGCAACAAAGAAACTGAAGGTCTAATGGGCCCATAAGAGGCAGCTCCTATTTATATCCACCCAAACTCATTTATATACAATATAATGTATCTAATCTACACTTGAAACAATCCAGCAATCCAAGTTGCACCATAAATCTACACTACAGTACAGTATTTCCAAACAAATATTTACCCAGGTCTCCTGAATCTAATCTTAATTTACAGTACAGTATATTCATTGTTTCATATCCTATTTGATGTTTATATATTTAAAACCTTGTTTCTATCCACTTTCTTATACCTTTTCAGCCAATAGTATACTTCAATCATATTACTTTTATTCATCTAGAAAATGTAAATTAAGTTCTTTTAACCTCTCTTAACTGCTTAACTCTTAACTTAACTTAACTCTTAACTCTCTTAACTGCTCTCTTAACACTTTCCCGCTCTCCGCAAAGGTCACTCAGCCAACCGAATGTGCGCGCTGCGTTTTTATCGCTTAAGCGTAAAAACAAAAATGTGTATACTCTTTTTACTCTTCTGACCTTAGTTCTCATGCTACGTATTTCATTTTGGTACCAACGTGTTCGCAATAAAATTCTCTAGAAGAACATCAGTAAAATAAGTCACAAAACATATAGGGTTACCAGCACCAAATAAATAACTACGTAGATGACTCGCCGTGAGCGCCCATCAGCAACAAAATGTTTTTACTCTTGGGATTGTAATCACCTCCACACTTGTTCTACAGCGTTAATTTTGGTATCAATGGACTCGCAATGAAATTCCCAACACGGTGATATGAATATAAGCGTAGAATAATGATGCAGCCCGCCCGCAAGAGTGTGGGAAGTGGTGAAATTGTTACCCGGTATCGGTGACGGGACGACGCACGGCGCTTTGAAAGTTTATACTTATTTCACTCTCATGACTAATTTTCTATGTACGTCATTCATTTTTATGTCAATGTGTTCGCAATAGAATGTTCTATGTGCCCATAGGTAAAAAATATCAACAAAGCGTAAGTTAGAATAGCGACAAATATAAAACAACGCTGGAACATATCAGTGAGCGTCAAACACACACGAAATATTTTTACTTTTGTTATGTTTGTCAAGATTATACTTGTTGCACACAGTTATTTTTGGTTGTATATTGATCGAAATAAAATTCCCTAAACAGACATATGCATATAATACATGATATGGGGGAAGAATTACCAGTATAAACGGCTAACGTCACCCACCTGCAACCCGTTTGGGACAAAATACCATTTAATCGAAGTTATCCACACCTTTCATTAGCTTATTGTACCATGCAGCCTAGTGGTGAGAAAGAGAGCCTCATAGCACGCAGTTTGAAACAAACCCAAAGTAAATCGGATAAAAATTGAATTTTATACAAATATTTTAAAAGTAGACATAACTTTATGTCCACTATGCGTTTACGTTAGACGAAACCGAACGCGCCAGCGCGTCCAGATAGCGCGAAAGTGTTAACTTAGCTGCTCTGGGCCTTAATGCCTTCAACACTGCCATGTGGAAGAATTTTTTTTCTTATCCAAGTGTTCATTTTTGTTCCCTGAGCATGAGAAACAATAAAAAAATCATAGGTGGCATATTTTGGTCACAATAGGGCGAGAAAGTCTGGAAAATAAAAAGGCGTTGACAGAGCAAGCGTCTGAGGCGGCCTGCTCCACTCAAGCTGTCAGGAAGGAGTTGCCACAAAGACATTATTACCTAATTATTTCAATGTCTGATTTTTTTCTTTGTTTATTT